AAATGAAATGATTAAATAATTCAGTTTAGGCTTCTAACGTCAAAGACTGTCCAAACGAAAGAAAAGTCCATAACATGTTTCCATACAAGTCGAGAATTAGATAAAGTGGGGTCAATTTAATTGCATCCTACAAATGTTTCGTCATTATGTGATGTTAAAAGTAGATAGACCCAACACCTAAGAGGCGAAAATCAAAGTAAGTAGACAGAAATGTCAAAATAATTATGGACATAGTGATTGAGAGTTGAAATGAGTTACCTCGGTGACCTAGGTAACCGTGGGAATCGGTATTTGATGACGTATTATGACGTCATCTTAGTACGATGTTTGAGTTATCTTAAGCTGAAGCACTACCCATTACAATGTGGAAAAATAGGCCAAATGGAAGATATCAAAGTGTAAAATCGTCTACAGTTTTGTGTTTCTAGTGATGCGTCGTTTCATTGTACTAAGAATGTTTTAACGATTGATTGATAAACGAACATAGACATACAACTATTTATCGTGCTATACACAAACACTTTGTCTGCGATCCTAGGTCAAACTCATTGTCCCGTTAAAACAGAAACAAAAAACCTGTAATGTACGCTGACGATGAGTGATTGATTCTAATGCTGAAGTAAGGATGATACTTACACCTTAGGACAGACAGCGTTCCACACCATCTAACCCTAGCAATTGCGTCTGTTTTATCTTTTTCATTTGGTTAAATGATGACATAATAAAAACTCGTGATAACACGGATAATTTATAATCAAATTCCACGAAATCAGTTCGGTTTCCAAAAGATAAAAACCCAGAACGATATCAATGTGTCTTGAATGTATAACTGGTAGAAAAACATAAGATAATGACACCTGTACCGTTTCTTTTATTTGTAGTATGAGATAATGACATCTGTACCGTTTCTATTATTTCTAGTATGAGATAATGACATCTGTACCGTTTCTATTATTTGTAGTATAAGATAATGACATCTGTACCGTTTCTATTATTTGTAGTATAAGATAATGACATCTGTACCGTTTCTATTATTTGTAGTACCGTTTCTATTATTTGTATATATTTGTAGTATTTCTATTATTTGAGATAATGACATCTGTACCGTTTCTATTCTTTCTAGTATAAGATAATGACATCTGTACCGTTTCTATTATATGTAGTATAAGATAATGACATCTGTACCGTTTCTATTATTTGTAGTATAAGATAATGATGTACCGTTTCTATTATTTGTAGTATAAGATATCTGTACCGTTTCTATTATTTGTAGTATAAGATAATGACATCTGTACCGTTTCTATTATTTGTAGTATGAGATAATGACATCTGTACCGTTTCTATTATTTCTGATATGATATAATGACATCTGTACCGTTTCTATTATTTGTAGTATAAGATAATGACATCTGTACCGTTTCTATTATTTGTAGTATAAGATAATGACATCTGTACCGTTTCTATTATTTGTAGTATAAGATAATGACATCTGTACCGTTTCTATTATTTGTAGTATAAGATAATGACATCTGTACCGTTTCTATTATTTGTAGTATAAGATAATGACATCTGTACCGTTTCTATTATTTGTAGTATGAGATAATGACATCTGTACCGTTTCTATTATTTGTAGTATAAGATAATGACATCTGTACCGTTTCTATTATTTGTAGTATGAGATAATGACATCTGTACCGTTTCTATTATTTGTAGTATAAGATAATGACATCTGTACCGTTTCCATTATTTCTAGTATAAGATAATGACACCTGTACCGTTTCTATTATTTGTAGTATGAGATAATGGCACCTGTACCGTTTCCATTATTTCTAGTATGATATAATGACATCTGTACCGTTTCTATTATTTGTAGTATAAGATAATGACACCTGTACCGTTTCCATTATTTCTAGTATGATATAATGACATCTGTACCGTTTCTATTATTTGTAGTATAAGATAATGGCACCTGTACCGTTTCCATTATTTCTAGTATGAGATAATGACACCTGTACCGTTTCTATTATTTGTAGTATAAGATAATGACATCTGTACCGTTTCTATTATTTGTAGTATGAGATAATGGCACCTGTACCGTTTCTATTATTTTAAGGTTGAACGCATTCAACGAAATTATTTGTGCATTGATCTCATTGTTTACAAATTGTTCTGTATTGTTGGTTTAATGCTCAATCAAATGTGAATCTTGAGGATGACAACGGCATATTATCGGAAATCGTTCATGTGTTTTTTTTAATATTAAGCTTCTAGCATATTGATTGAGTAATATCAAAAGTGTCACTTGTTTTTTTAGAAAATGGAATATAATAATTATTCACACAAGCTGTTAGAGCAATTTCTATCTTTAATGAAAAATAAAAAAAATGTTTCACATTATCTAAAGACGTATGTGAAATGTCTGAATTGTTAACAATTTTAAGAGGGTATCTACATAATGTACAGGAGATGGTATAGCTTACTTATAATCTTTTAATTCTAAAAATCTTAAAGTACTGTTTTAAAATAGATGGTATTTCTCACTATTGCTATATTTAGATGCTGCTGCACTGTCAACCGACCAGGATTGATTACTGAGAAACTGCCTATCTGTACTTCTTACACTAACAGTGAACCCCCCCCCCCCCCCCACCCACCCCCCACCCCCACCCCCCCAAAAAAACGCCCCCTCCCCCAGCCCCCTCACTACTGACCTTCTTTATGGCCAACTCGGTAAGTTTAAGGTAGACCAAAAGGATGGAATTTAGAATTTAGGAGAGAGTGTTTATGTATTGTGGCAAGAATTTAACACTTTGCCGACTTTTATATCCCACATCGCGCGCTGATTTTCAGCTCTGTAGCTCCAGTGGAACTCCGAGATGTAGACTGAGAAAAGGTCAATGCAGGGCGGCGGTTAACGACATCTGAAAAACGATGCTATATGTCATCCTGACATAGGTTTTTTACATCGGAGGAGGAAAGATCAATGATTTACCTTCTTGTAGATATTTCTTCTAGCCTTACACAAACAAATACGTGTATAAATTGCTTGATTTTTAATTTTCTGACATTTTCTTTCCCGTGTAGAATCTTGTTTATGATAGTGAAATCACATTTCTCATTTGAAGATTAAATTCTGAATCAGAATCTTTTGACCAACCAAATTCTTTTTGTTTCTGAATGCTGTATTTCCTTACAATTCGTTCAGACAATATCATCTTATCAGCAGTAATTTCTCTTTCCTTTCTTCACTGATGTTGTGTTCCGTTTCTGTTCGTTGTCCGTATTGGTCTGGTATTGGTTCTTGTATTCGACAAACGCACCTTCTTCTTGAGATCCGTCAACAGCTTGGAACATTTTTTTATTATTCCACCTACAAAACAAGCAACATGACAATAGTCTAATGTAAAAACATCTTCTAAACATCCAAGTTTTCTGGCAATTCGAATTACAAACTCGCGTTTTGTTTTATATAAAACTGTCAGTATTATTTTATCAGAAATTTACAAGATTTTACAAAACACAGACGGAGAAAAATAACTTATCAATACCAGAGAATCAGATACAGTAGAGCCAAATAGCAAATGCGCTTTACAACTGCTTCTTCCTCCTAGGGCCCTCATTGATGTTAAGGATCAAATGGACCTGTTATGTAGGGATTTTTGCCCACAGCGTTTTAAATTATTATATATGGCGCCTCACTCAAAAATACTTAATCAACAATGTTTTTATTTGTGTACAAACAACTTTTTTTTACATTTAACATCTTTCCCAGATTTATAAACAAATACCAAACTGTCGCACAGCTGATCTATATATGTATTGCCCTAATATGGCACTGCCTCATTTTTGGTGTTAATTGGAATGTACTTTGTGAAAACTTTTGGGTTCTGTGTACTTGAGGAGACAAACCAGAATCTCTAAAACTGGAAATTACTTATCGGTGCTTAAAGATTAGAATTTATCTGCCACTACGAGCGGTTTTATTGTCAGTATAATGTGATTAGGCGTGTTGTCCTGCTGGGAACCATTTGTAGTATACATCAGTGTTACACCCACATAAAGTCGTTGTCGGTTCTGTACTGTAACAAGACACTTAACGCAAGCACTTGTCTTGTAAACAATTTAAAAACAAAGCAACTTTTATCATCAGTAATGTATTACTTAAAGAGACGTCATCTGAAGGTGGAGGGTAGTTAATATTGTGTATATCTGATGGAACAGCGTAATGGAAGTGACAAGTTAATAACTGATTGTACGACTGTGGTACGAGGTTATAAACGTTAAATTTAGGGTAAAAGTTTTAAATTAATCGTGATAGTATACCATATTCTATTTCAAAGAATCTGCTAGTAAAGCTATTATTTATATCTTAAAGTTTCTACAAATACAGAATTATACCTATCGTCACTTTTCCTTCCTCAGCTGTCAGGAAATGGAACGAATCCAACCCACAGACAAATAGTTTTCATCATCAGAACCGAAATACAAATGTGTGATATTTTTTGTCGTCTCTGATGATTCACCCAATAACCATGGCTAGTCTGGTAGAATATATCTGCGAGAGGATTCAAACCTGGGTCTCAAGTGTTGTTGACCATGGCTCTACCAATTACATCAGCACGCTTCATAACCTGTCGTGAGTGACACATAGGATAGAAGGTCGTAAGTGATACATGAGACAGAAGGTCGTGAGTGACACATAAGATAGAAGTTCGTGAGTGACACATGAGATAGAAGGTCGTGAGTGACACATAAGACAGAAGGTCGTAAGTTACACATAAGACAGAAGGTCGTGAGTGACACATAGGACAGAAGGTCGTAAGTGACACATAAGACTATTTTTACCAGTAAAGGAATTGGTATCACATAGTCAAAGGGTCAAAGGGTCGCGAATGACATTTACGACCATCTACCACCAAAAATAAAACATTTTCCATAAACGGAAGGATTTGCATTTTAAACATGATTTTAACTAAAGTCACATATCATATTCTTTGCAGGACCCCCGGTACAATGACGAGGTGGACCGAATAACAGGCTACGTCACAGAGTCCATCATCTGTATGCCCATTCGGAACTCGGACAACGACATTGTGGGTGTGGCCCAGGTTGTTAACAAGACCGGGTCATGTGAAGGTTTCAGCAAAGACGATGAAAAGGTAAGATGGTGCTTGACAACAGACCCAGGTTGGTCATCGTTGAGAGTTTTGGGAAAAGAAGTTTATGAAAACTACAGAATATGAGGGAGTAAAAAGACTCGAAAAACGTATGTTTTTATTATCAAAAAGATTGAACTGTCGTTAAATATCGAGAATAAAGGCTGATGTTTGAACTAGAAATAGATGTCATGTTTCCATCTGGGGCCGGTTACATTGAAGGAGTAAGTATCCATCTGGCGCGGGTTACATTGAAGGAGTAAGTGTCCATCTGGGGCGTGTTATATTGAAGGAGTAAGTTTCCATCTGGGGCGGGTTACATTGAAGGAATAAGTTTCCATCTGGGGCGGGTTACATTAAAGGAATAAGTTTCCATCTGGCGCGGGTTACATTGAAGGAGTAAGTTTCCATCTGGGGCGGGTTACATTGAAGGAATAAGTTTCCATCTGGCGCGGGTTACATTGAAGGAATAAGTTTCCATCTGGGGCGGGTTACATTGAAGGAATAAGTTTCCATCTGGGGCGGGTTACATTAAAGGAATAAGTTTCCATCTGGGGCGGGTTACATTGAAGGAGTAAGTTTCCATCTGGGGCGGGTTACATTGAAGGAGTAAGTTTCCATATGGGACACGGGAAAACGTGACGCAACATCATGGGACATTATTAGGAAAAATATTGTTCAGGCAAAAAAGAAAAAATCCTAAATTTAGTCCCCCTTACGAAGGGAATCATTAGGAAATTCATCATTGTTTAGACAAAAAAGAAATCTGATCCAAAATTTAGTTGCCTTTTACGATCTTTGAACGCGGGCAACAAGTACAATGATTAGATAGGACCTGCAGGGTTTTACATAATGAATGACATACCTGCCATATCAAAAGCCCACTGGTAAATAACTTTTATACATTAGCCTCCGACTATCTCTATAAAACACGCGACGGTAATTTACCGCGTTGATTGATGACAGAGAATATTTACCAACTTACTGCAGGAGTGCCCGGTGCATGATCAGCATATTGTTTAGTGATTATCTTGACGTGTGGTGACATATTTACACAAAGGTGTGTTATATATTCATCAATAATTTCGTGATAGAAATGGCTCTGTAATCATATGATTGGGTGTTACATCGGATAACCACTTATCTTCCAATAAATATATTTTTATGTTTTAGAAAAAAATGTCTTGTACAAAACGGAGGATGATAAATCCTGGATTACAATACACTGTGCCTACCTATAACATTTGTGGAATTGATGATTTTACAAAAGACACAAGTGAACAGCACCTTTTAATTCCATTTTTTGAGTTAGATACAGTAGAGTCAAATAATGAATTAAACTGGTAATTCAGCTGTTTCCTCGATAGTATTGTATAAATTTTAGAACAAAATACTACATGATTTTTATTTTGGAAAACATGAATCTTGGCGCGTGGCAGTTTTCAGTAGACCTTGATGGACTGTGGGATTCAGTACAACTCTTATATACATTGTTACACGTAACTATCCCGCAACCGACAAAATCCTAATTCAAACACAAAGGCTCTGAGATTCAACTCACACTTAAAACATTCACAGTACGTTCATGTTCAGATACAGAAACAAATCATAATTCGAAAAGAAAAGAAACTCGAGGTGATTTTCGATAATATAACATTTGAATGTATTGATTTGTGTCTGTATCCAATCTTTCTAAAAACTCGGGAAAAGCGATGTGATTTCTTTATAACTCCCAGCCTTTATTATTGATTTGACCGAGCGGTAACTATCCACGCACCAAGATGTTTTGTTCTCCAAAGTGCACCCTGATTAGCTGAAATTGCGGATGTCTTAATCCAAACGAACCACTCAATATGTCATTAGCTCCAGAGAGACGACCGCTGCGTCACATTCATACAAATAAATCTTTATTCCTATGATAATGGACCAGTTGCATCATTAAGAATGTGATATTTGAAGGGTTCTGAACAGAAATTAAGACAAAATGAAATCTGATAACATTTATCATGATGTCACTTGTACGACTTTACGAATTGATTTTGTACATGATTTCTTTTCTCCATGAAAATGATCAGAATGACAATGACCTCTTTGTTCCAGGCAGTTTAATTATTGTCAGGGAAACCGTACATATTTATTCTTCAGGGATTGCGTTTCCAAATCGACGTTAAGAGATTGAACTGATGAAAACTAAATCAAAAACCGTTGATAAAGAATTAAGATTTTATCGTTACAAAATTAATGAATAAATCAATCTATAAAAATAAGCTGTCATGCCGCCACATCAACTGACTGTACGAAATGATGACAAAGCCTTGTCACTTCTGCGGTACTCACATTGAATACGTGACATTATTACCTCACCTGGCCCGAAGAGCCAAATAAGTTTTTGCCGTGACGCAGCGTCCGTCAACCGTCGTCCTCCCGTCGTCTGGCGTCAACTTCTTCTCTTTATAACCAATGGACCAAACGTCTCGATATTTGACTGGTATTTCCTAGGATGAAGCCTTACAAAGTTTGCGAAAAGAAATGACCTTGAATTATTTTTCAGGTCACAGGGGTCTAATTTGTTAAAACATTTAAATAACTTCTTCTCGTGAACTAAAAGTCTTTGAGGAATCATATCTGGCTGGTATGTCCTTAGAATGAAGCCCGACAAAGTTTGACCTATGTTAAAGTGTTAAAGGTTACAGTCCCCCACCCACTCCCCGTTCCTACATTTTTTCTAACGCTGTAGTCGCCTTGCTTTAATGATATGAGATACCCGTAGAATGTTTCACTTTTTTAAAATATGACATTCTGTATCGGTAAGGAAGAATGTTAAAATGGAAATTACCCACACCATCATTACAGATTTCAAATAAAACACTCCTTAAATCTTCAATGCATTTCAAAAGGTAGCTGAAATAGATTCTCATAAAGCTCGATCCAAAACATCACACTAAACATGCTATCTTGTTCTATATTATCGTTAGACTGTCACGAGTAGCTCAGATTTAGAGTCATCTATTGACGTAAACAATACTTATTTCTACATTAAATACTCCATACCTAAAGTCTCGACAGCCACTCTCGCGCTATCTACATCAGGATGACAATCAATGATGGGCAGAAAGGTCTTCTTAAAAAGCTAATGATAGTACATGGCTGAAAGGAATACCCCTTTTCTGTGGACATCCAAGTTCATCACAGAACGACAGATTCTTAAACGGCAGTGCTTGTTTATCTTCGAAATAATACCCAGCCTGATGATGGCAATTTGCCAAGATCGGATACGCCTAGCAAAAGAAAAATCACCCTAAGGCATGAACATATTTGTTTTCATTTCTACCACAACGTGTCATTCTTACCTCGTAGTACTGTATAGATAGTTTGTCAGAATGCTGAGTAACGAAAACGTAATTGAATATAAGGGAATGTATTTGTTAATGTTAGCGTTCTATCGCAGTCAGAATAGATAAATCTAGAATATCTATACTGCTTACTATCACACCATAAAATACTAACAACGCAGATTGGTTTACATTTAAGTGCCATGCGTACTGAACACTATCTCATAACATTTCGACATTTTTGGCTTGTTCTACACATCGTAAATCTAAGACACAGACTTGTCTGGTCGCTAGAGATGTATGGAATGGGATGTTGTATTTTAAGTATGTTACAAAACACCTTTATTTCATAACAAAGAATACAATCTATAATAACGCTCGTTGTGATTTCTTCAATGTAACCCGCGCCAGATGGAAACTTACTCCTTCAATGTAACCCGCCACAGATGGAAACTTACTCCTTCAATGTAACCCGCCACAGATGGACACTTACTCCTTCAATGTAACCCGCCACAGATGAAAACTTACTCCTTCAATGTAACCCGCCACAGATGAAAACTTACTCCTTCAATGTAACCCGCCCCAGATGGACACTTACTCCTTCAATGTAACCCGCCACAGATGAAAACTTACTCTTTCAATGTAACCCGCCACAGATGAAAACTTACTCCTTCAATGTAACCCGCCACAGATGAAAACTTACTCCTTCAATGTAACCCGCGCCAGATGGAAACTTACTCCTTCAATGTAACCCGCCACAGATGAAAACTTACTCCTTCAATGTAACCCGCCACAGATGGAAACTTACTCCTTCAATGTAACCCGCCACAGATGGACACTTACTCCTTCAATGTAACCCGCCACAGATGAAAACTTACTCCTTCAATGTAACCCGCCCCAGATGGACACTTACTCCTTCAATGTAACCCGCCACAGATGAAAACTTACTCCTTCAATGTAACTTACTCCTTCAATGTAACCCGCCACAGATGAAAACTTACTCCTTCATTGTAACCCGTCCCAGATGGAAACTTACTCCTTCAATGTAACACGCCCCAGATGGAAACTTACTCCTTCAATGTAACCCGTCACAGATGAAAACTTACTCCTTCAATATAACCCGCCCCAGATGAAAACTTACTCCTTCAATATAACCCGCCCCAGATGAAAACTTATTTCTTCAATGTAACCCGCCCCAGATGGAAACTTATTCCTTCAATGTAACACGCCACAGATGGAAACTTATTCCTGCAATGTGGTACACATATTCAGCTCGGATAATTCTTCAGTGTGGTACATATAATCAGCTGGGACAATCGACAGTGGTCCTCAGTGTGGTACACATACTCAGCTGGGACAATCGACAGTGGTCCTCAGTGTGGTACATATACTCAGCTGGGATAATCGCAGTATTCCTCAGTGTGGTACACATACTCAGCTGGGATAATCGCAGTGGTCCTCAGTGTGGTACACATACTCAGCTGGGATAATTCCTCAGTGTGGTACACATATTCAACTGGGACAATCGACAGTGGTCCTCAGTGTGATACACATACTCAGCTGGGACAATCGACAGTATTCCTCAGTGTGGTACACATACTCAGCTGGGACAATCGACAGTGGTCCTCAGTGTGATACACATACTCAGCTGGGACAATCGACAGTATTCCTCAGTGTGGTACACATACTCATCTGGGATAATTCCTCAGTGTGGTACACATACTCATTTGGGACAATCGACAGTGGTCCTCAGTGTGGTACACATACTCAGCTGGGATAATGGACAATGGTCCTCAGTGTGGTACACATACTCAGCTGGGACAATTGACAGTGGTCCTCAGTGTGGTACATATACTCAGCTGGGATAATCGACAGTGGTCCTCAGTGTGGTACATATACTCAGCTGGGATAATCGGCAGTATTCCTCAGTGTGGTCTTAAAAAGTACAAAGTGAATAAGACCAGGTGTTCCGGAAAGTAAGCGTAAGATTGCACAAATGACAAAAAAGTGTATTGCACCGTTCAATGCAAATTGGTTACAGCAGTGCCAACATATTATTTAAACTGCATCCGACAGCTGTCTTGTAGAGCTCGACAAACACTCTTTCTACTTAATGAATTACTTCAAAGTCGATTAGACATTCTTCATTGTTTACATCATGAACACCCTCATCATTAGTAACTGACTTCATTTGTTGTTTCAGATGCTGGCGACATACTTAACGTTCTGTGGGATTGCAATACATAATGCCCAGATATTCGAGGCCTACAGCAAAGAATACGAGAGGAATAAGGTATTGAACTTGATAGATACAGAATAAGGCAAATTTGACTTTTGTCATTTTTTTTATTTACTTGTTATCTACGCCATATCTCATTATGTATCGGAAAGAAGCAACGATAAGTATTTAACATGCCCACAGAATATTACAGCCGAAATATGACGTCATGTACTATAGAAAGAATTGATTTAAACCAAAAGATCGATCTAGATTCAGCTCAAGATTACATTTCCAGAGATTAACTTATCGACTCAGCCTAGTTCACCTACATTAAATTTTGCGATTATCTTTATATAGGTAAACATGCATGAAGAATGTTTCTTAAAAATTCCAAATTTGATTAACTGTTATGTGCTACATTGTGTAATCTTGTTGACATAGTATACGACAATATGTGTTATATTGTGCAATCTAAACATTGTTGACATAGAATAGGACAATATGTGTTACATTGTGTAATCTTGTGTTACATTGTGTAATCTTGTTGAACATTGTGTTACACATAGAATACGACAATATGTGTTACATTGTGTAATCTTGTTAACATCTATGTGTTACATTGTGTAATGACATAGTATACGACAATATGTGTTACATTGTGTTAACATAGAATACGACAATATGTGTTACATTGTGCAATCTAGACATTGTTGACATAGTATACGACAATATGTGTTACATTGTGTAATGTAAACATTGTTGACATAGTTTACGACAATATGTGTTACATTGTGTAATCTAAACATTGTTGACATAGTTTACGACAATATGTGTTACATTGTGTAATCTAAACATTGTTGACATAGTATACGACAATATGTGTTACATTGTGTAATCTTGTTGACATAGAATACGACAATATGTGTTATATTGTGCAATCTAAACATTGTTGACATAGAATAGGACAATATGTGTTATATTGTGTAATCTAGATGTTGTTGACATAGTATACGACAATATGTGTTACATTGTGCAATCTAAACATTGTTGACATAGAATAGGACAATATGTGTTACATTGTGTAATCTTGTTAACATAGAATACGACAATATGTGTTACATTGTGTAATCTTGTTGACATAGTATACGACAATATGTGTTACATTGTGTAATCTAAACATTGTTGACATAGAATACGACAATATGTGTTACATTGTGTAATCTTGTTAACATAGAATACGACAATATGTGTTACATTGTGTAATCTTGTTGACATAGTATACGACAATATGTGTTACATTGTGTAATCTTGTTGACATAGAATACGACAATATGTGTTACATTGTGTAATCTTGTTGACATAGTATACGACAATATGTGTTACATTGTGCAATCTAAACATTGGTGACATAGTATACGACATTATGTGTTACATTGTGTAATCTAGACATTGTTGACATAGTATACGACAATATGTGTTATATTGTGTAATCTAGATGTTGTTGACATAGTATACGACAATATGTGTTATATTGTGTAATCTAGATGTTGTTGACATAGTATACGACAATATGTGTTACATTGTGTAATCTAAACATTGTTGACATAGTTTACGACAATATGTGTTACATTGTGTGATCTTGTTGACATAGTATACGGCAATATGTGTTATATTGTGTAATCTAGATGTTGCTGACACGAATGAAATTAATATAGCATGTATGGTACCCGTTCAGAGCGAGGAGATTTGATTCACATGTAGAAAATCGACTGGCAACGCTTTGTATGTCATAACGAGCGCTGTGGTGTACTTGATGGACATAGAGATGCAATCTGCCTGAAAGTAGAAAGTGATCGCTGGAGGTTTCTATATAGTTTCCCACTTAATCGTGTCGCATACTTAGATGCAAAAATATTCCTTATGATGCCCTAGAGAACTGATCTCCGCCATTACTGCTTTCCACCTCCGGATTTTAAGAATGCGTTACTTGTTTGGTATAGACATTCGGCGTCATTTCCGGATCTCTTCTCAAGAGAGTTACTGAAAGGTTTCAACCCTGTTATTTAAAACATCTTGTAGTAACAATCCTTTAAATGCTAGCCTGACTCATCGTCTCCATTGTATAATTTAGGTGTATAATTCACTGATTCTTACCTTATTAAGTCATTAGTCATTCTTTGTACACAATGATCTTCTTACCCAATTACAAAATGAAGTATTGCAATTTAAACAGTATAGTAAATGAAATATCTTGCACAAATATCAAACCCACCCAACCCAACCCCCAACCCTCCAAAAAAAGAAAATAAAAAAGAAGAAACAAAAATATATATATATATCTCCTATCGATAAAAATCACATTACGGGGACAAGTTGTTGTATAAGTGGGGATCACAAGGGTAGCCCCAAGGAGAAAGTAACTGATATATATTACAGAGCAGACTTCCGTTTTCTAGGTCTATCACTTATTAAGACGAAAAGACGTGTCACCAGATATCCGGTACTGTAATGTAGAAGTTCCTGCCATACCGCTTTAGGTTATGTTGAATTCCAGTATTTCCTTTTCTCGTTACACGCTGTTCTATATGTAGTTAGTATTTAATTCCTCTATATGTACATCAATCCAGTTTCGGAATTCGTATGTAAAGGTGCTATTCACATATATGTCTTTTGTTCGATGCCATGAGTGCCGATGGCTAGTGGTTAAACGAACTGATCTGGCAGATAATGAGCGCGAAATAGCTCGTTATTCATGCATCTTTTCATTGTCTTTATATAGATTTCTCGGGCATTAAAAAACATCCATGATAGCATATAGAGGGTATTGCAATACTTACACTTTAATTTTTTTGTCGCTATTTCGGGTTTCTTCGCCGGTTCAATGTTCACTACTTTGAGTCAGAAATAATGATGTAAATATTAATTTTTCAGCTACAATGTATTAATTCTAACAGTATGAAATACTGATCGATTGTCCTTTCATATCAAATATATGATTCTCATTGTACATTTCTATTGACTTTGACTATTGATATTCTGTCCTTTGTACAGTCTTCTGTTACATCATATCTATAATTCTGTGAGATGCCGGTAGTTTCCATATTATTGTCCAATATAAACCAAGAATATCAACCTATGTGTAACCCTGGTAAAATACTAACCGCAATATACCACTCGGCTGGAGAGAACTTCTCTTTAACGCGACTGGTTGAGCGTCAGATTAGTAAGCCAGGGGTCCCGGGTTCGATTCCTAGCGGAGACATTAAAGTTAATTATGACCTCTGTTACTTGTGTATTGTTTGCCTCGTTTAGTTAATTTCAATTATTACATGAGATCTAAACTAATTTTATCTAAATAAAGATAAACTGAATATTTGAAAGACATATAGGAAATATAAGAACGTGGATGTGTTAACGAGACTAACCTGTTTGTTTTACAGGCTCTGCTGGAGGTTGTCCATGACGTTTTCGAGGAACAGACGTCACTAGAAATGGTCATTCACAAGATAATGCAGAGAGCACAAACGCTACTGAAGTGTGAGAGATGTTCCGTCCTGTTACGGGATGGTACGTCAGAGGTAAGTGAAGATGCCTTGGTGACGCCACAATTCAATGTGGTGATGTCATCAACCGCAAATTTGTTGAAATTTATTAATCACTGATCGTACATTTTACATTATTACGTAGATAACAAAAACTAATGCTGCTTTTTCTCTTGAACGTTTTAATTTCTCCACAACTAAGAAACAAGTTTCCAAATAATCACACTTGTTGGCTCTGGTTAAAAAACGCGAGGGAAAGAAACCGGAAAACCCCACATGGTCGGACAGGTCACATCTTACATCACCGAGTTCGTGCGAATACTCGAACTCAGGACGTCTTGGTGAAAGACGAGTGCGTTACAACTGCGCCCCAAATCACACTCTTTTTTATTGGAGTAAACTTTTATTTATTCCAACCCCAGCCACCTCCAACTTTGGATTCAGTTTGATTTATACAGCTTTCCTAGGTGCCTTACACATCCTGTCTAGTGTGAATTAGATCTGTCCCTGATAACCTCGTACAGTCGTACAATCGCCTTATTTATGTTCTAGAATTAGATATACAGGAATTATCTCCCCGCTGTATATAGATATTAACTAACTGTCATCTCGTATTGTAGACGTGGTGTTGTATAGAAATAATCCGATCTCTACCGCTAAGTAATGTGTCAGAGGAATGACAGCCAGTCGCGGAGGATGTTATCGTCCATTTTTTGGTTATTCCTAATTATCCTGCTGACGAATGGAATAAGTAGTTCTGTATCAAGCCACAGATAACGTGTCACTTTTTACAACTACTAGCAGGTTTATCTTTTTGCATTTTGATTAAAATGAAAACGTCAAATCAATTCAATATGTAGTTTTACTAGTTTTAATAACTCAATCATATCAAGTAAATTACCCTCCCCCCGCTTCTCATTTTAGTCATTAAAAGTGCGGCTTCTTTGACCCCACCCCCTCCCGACCCCCTCCAGAATCCATCCTCTCGACCCCATCATTCCGACCCCACCCGCCCGACCCATCCTCCCGACCTCCCCCCCCCTTCCGACTCCCCTCCAGACCCCACCCCCTCCCGACCCCTTCCTTTCGACTCCCCTCCCGACCCCACCCTTTCGACGCGCCTCCCCACCCCACCCTCCCGACCCCATTTCCTCCCGACCCCACCCTTTCGACGCGCCTCCCGACCCCACCCTTTCGACGCGCTTCCCGACCCCACCATTCCGACTCCCCTCCCGACCCCACCCTTTCGACGCGCCTCCCGACCCCACCCTTTCGACGCGCCTCCCGACTCCACCCTACCGTCGAATCCATTTCTGCTCTCGGTGAACTATACCTTCATAATTTCCATTACGCTATTTTATAAAATAAAATATGTTTGGCAGTTTGATACTTTGGGATTATCAAAAATCAAAACGCTAGTGACATTTTTTTTCAGAGTTGTAAAAGTACTTAGATCTGTATACAGAAATAGCTGATATAAAATTTATGCAAATTTATATTGATATATTTATATTACCGAATAGTTTCTTCCAGCAACAATTGTTCAATCACCTTTCCTTGCATTGAAATTAGACCTTCTGTAAACTTTGAAATTAAAAATTTCTGTAAGCTTTGAAATAAAAAAAAAAGATTAGAAATTAAAAACTTATCTAAACTTTCAAATTAAAACAATGTATCTCGTATTTCAGACAAATTTTAACCAGGTATTCGACCTCGGTTATCCAGTGAAAAACGGACAGTCTTCCAATTATAAGTAAGTATAATGTGTGTAGGATATATCTGTTTAGCCTTTGTTTTACGTGTAATGTACTTTAAAAAAATATGTTGTATACACAATAAACCTCTATATTTGTTGTCTCTGATAAGAATTGTCCAATATTAATCCAAACTCATGTTTTACTCGACTTCATTAATTTCTAAATATGAAACAAGATCAAACAATTCCTTGTGAAAACCACGAAAAGCTTTCAACAATATCTCGTGACGCGGCAGAGAGTATCCATGGTGACGAGTCAGAACTGGAGTAATAAATCAACTTCTATATCTCATTAAACCTCATATCTATCAGTACTGTGTTTTTACCTAGTTCACTATGATCCAAACTATACCTATATGATTTCGTCCCCGATACTACTGGGGATACGCTTACTATCGCTCCCTGCACCCAGGAACAATTAATGCCAAATTGAGGCACAGTTTAAGTGAGTGGATTGGTCTAAACTGGATTTCAGTTGAAAAATCCAGACCAATCACAAACTAATACGCCTTTGAACCTCAAATGCAGTACAGCATACCATCATATGACCTCGAGATTCGTTTGATGTACATCAAATGATCAAACATTTCGTCTTGTCCACAACGTGTCGGACATGGAACCTTCAATTTTGCTATGAAATATTCAATGGTGCAGAATAAGAGACAGTGAGCTGAACCTCTGAAGTATCGAGGATGGTTCCAGGGGTACAGAGAGCGATAGTGAGTGTAACCCCTGTAGTATCGAGGATGGTTCCAGGGGTACAGAGAGCGATAGTAAGTGTAACCCCTTAAGTGTCGAGGATGGTTCCAGGGGTGTAGAGAGCGATAGTGAGCGTAACCCCTGAAGTATCTAGGATAATCTACTTTTGAAACAAGATTATGTCATACTTCTATTTCACTTTATGTCTGCATTTTACTACGTATATGTTTTTGCAAACTCTTTATGCTTAATTGCTATGACAACCTTCCTTTAAGTTGGGATTTTGGATTGATATTATAGCGCATGAACACTATATATACGTTATGGTTGAAATCTACAAAACCTTCAAAAGTGAAATATTCAGTCTTGTTAAAAGCACCCTTTATCTTGTGGGCATACTCATTCAGTGTTTTGATTTAATTATCTTAACGGGATAATAATTCAAAATTATTCAAACAAGAACAAAACCCATTAACAATTGCATGGGGTTTCATGACAGTTTGTATTTTACCTGAATTTCTTCTTTTTTTTGTCAGTATTGTACATGTTTTTCTCTCTCTCTGACTCTTTTTCTGTCCCTGTCGGTTCTTCCTCTCCTTCTGACGTCACAGGAATGTATTCTCCACGTGTGATCCCAACATGCATCCCGCCAACCGGCCACGTAATGTACCTTCCATAATATGTACAAGGTAATCTGATTCTTGTACCTCTATGTCTATTACAGGGTCAAGGTCACAATTCCTTATCTCCTATTGGCTGAGATACACTGATGATGTCACTATGTCGTAGCTATGTTGCTTGTGAATGCGCAATTCATATGTCATTACATAGTTATATGATCACAAGTTGTCGGATTTGTTTTGTCAACACGTCATTAAGTCATCATGCATGTATCAGTTCTGATTAAGTGGTCAGCTTTCTAGCTGTGCAGTAAAACATTTCAATACATGTGCCTCATATTAAGTTCAAACAATGACAATCTTTATAAATATCTATTTTTGGCATGATAGAATGGGTGTACTTTTTCCGATGCAGTGTCATTTTCTACTTTGAAAGTCTTTTCAATTGTGACCTTGACCCTTGTGTTAATGGCTGTCACGTGTACTTATGACGTATACATCGTTCCTGTAGTGTCATCTCCATCTGTTATAATAATATAGATATACTGCTGTATTATATCGTGTCTTAATTGGAAATAGTCAGCACTGTTCTCTCACTTTAACAATTTATCTTTATAAACACACTGATATTTCCTTTCACAATAACTTTGTGTATAATGACTGATATACTGAAACTCCAAGTATGAATTAGAAGTAAAAATAAAAATCAAGAAACAGTCTAGTCTGACGTATCATTGGATAATACAAGCAGTTTACATGATGTGTTTTATTTATAATAGATCGTTTATAAAAACCAAATTTCATCGAATCCCATCACAGTTTAGTCAACAGCACCTGGTAATACAGAATTATCGAAAGTAGAGGTAAACAACGAATCTAACTCCATCATACAGCTGTTTCGTCCTTCTAGGATTTGTTGGTGATTATAAGTCTAGATAAAATCCAAAGCGATTGAAATAAATGTTATAATCTTCATATGAAGTACCATAACCTCATGATTCAATCAATCTCGGGCATTGCCTTCTCATTGGATAGTAGATAGTTAAATGTAAAAACAGGATCTCTCGATTGACCAAACAAACCAACTCAGAATAGATCATATATAGTAAACAGGGGGGATTGCCTTCTCATTGGATAGTAAATAGTTAAATGTAAAAACAGGATCTCTCGATTGACCAAACAAACCAACTCAGAATAAATCATATATAGTAAACAGGGGGGATTGCCTTCTCATTGGATAGTAGATAGTTAAATGTAAAAACAGGATGTCTCGATTAACCAAACAAACCAACACAGAATAGATCATATATAGTAAACAGGGGGGATTGCCTTCTCATTGGATAGTAGATAGTTAAATGTAAAAACAGGATGTCTCGATTAACCAAACAAACCAACACAGAATAGATCATATATAGTAAACAGGGGGGATTGCCTTCTCATTGGATAGTAGATAGTTAAATGTAAAAACAGGATCTCTCGATTGACCAAACAAACCAACACAGAAAAGATCATATATAGTAAACAGGGGGGATTGCCTTCTCATTGGATAGTAGATAGTTAAATGTAAAAACAGGATCTCTCGATTGACCAAACAAACCAACACAGAATAGATCATATATAGTAAACAGGGGGGATTGCCTTCTCATTGGATAGTAGATAGTTAAATGTAAAAACAGGATCTCTCGATTGACCAAACAAACCAACACAGAATAGATCATATATAGTAAACAGGGGGGATTGCCTTCTCATTGGATAGTAGATAGTTAAATGTAAAAACAGGATCTCTCGATTGACCAAACAAACCAACACAGAATAGATCATATATAGTAAACAGGGGGGATTGCCTTCTCATTGGATAGTAGATAGTTAAATGTAAAAACAGGATCTCTCGATTGACCAAACAAACCAACACAGAATAGATCATATATAGTAAACAGGGGGGATTGCCTTCTCATTGGATAGTAGATAGTTAAATGTAAAAACAGGATCTCTCGATTGACCAAACAAACCAACACAGAATAGATCATATATAGTAAACAGGGGGGATTGCCTTCTCATTGGATAGTAGATAGTTAAATGTAAAAACAGGATCTCTCGATTGACCAAACAAACCAACACAGAATAGATCATATATAGTAAACAGGGGGGATTGCCTTCTCATTGGATAGTAGATAGTTAAATGTAAAAACAGGATCTCTCGATTGACCAAACAAACCAACACAGAATAGATCATATATAGTAAACAGGGGGGATTGCCTTCTCATTGGATAGTAGATAGTTAAATGTAAAAACAGGATCTCTCGATTGACCAAACAAACCAACACAGAATAGATCATATATAGTAAACAGGGGGGATTGCCTTCTCATTGGATAGTAGATAGTTAAATGTAAAAACAGGATCTCTCGATTGACCAAACAAACCAACACAGAATAGATCATATATAGTAAACAGGGGGGATTGCCTTCTCATTGGATAGTAGATAGTTAAATGTAAAAACAGGATCTCTCGATTGACCAAAAAAAATTCAATTAAGTATTTCAATTAAGTATTTGATATAGGTGACGTTTTACCTTACACGAGTCTTGCTGTTTGTTAGTTCCATTTCTGCCGTTAATAGCCCTGAAAACTCTTCAGACATGAAGTTTGGTAACAAGATTGCGGAACACGTGCTGATTACAGGGGAGACAATCAATATTTCGGATGCCGAACAGGATTGTCGTTTCGAACAAGAGGTATGTCAGTCTACATCTGCATTGCCTGCTTTACACGAAAAATTAAAAAAAGATAATGAGAAATATCACAAAGGAATTAGAGAAGTCTTTAATAGCTTTATCAATTATTGAATCTAACATTTGATGGAAGGGAGATAATCGTAATATAAACAAATTTAAATCTCTGAGTCTAACAACTTGATTATCATTCCATTTATGATTTACTAGTAGTGAGACACACGATGCATGCTTTCTAATAACATTAACTAATTTATAGATGTTGAATTAGGCTCTCTACTTGTTGAAAATATATTGTAGCTGATATTTTTCTCAACTATTAACGATTTTCATTATTAAGACATTTGTGAAATATCTCAGAAATAGAATTAAGAAATAACTTTAGGCTAGAGCTGTAAGTACTGATATAACGAAGTATACCGTAACTCCGACATGTATGTACGTGATTGTTATACAGGTCGACAAATGTGGAAACATCACTATGAGGTCAATACTGTGCAAGCCGATACGAAACAGAGAGTCAAAAACAATCGGTAAGTTTGTTTGTCTTTTTACTATTTTCTTTCTACCGTAGTTCATATTTCATTTATAGCAAAAGAGGACCGTCGCGTGCACGGGGTTATTCGAATTTTTTTTAACTGATTAGCTATAAATAGAACAGGAATGTTAGCACGGCAAAAGTTTTTTCTTAATATTTTCTTCCTACCACACTGACATTCATAGAAAGTCAGAAAAGCATATGAATAGACAATATGATACAAATCATATAAAAGTCCCTTCAGTGCAGTTAACGCTTGTTAGCTTTTCCACTGAGAACACCTCCCTTCAGTGCAGTTAACGCTTGTTAGCTTTTCCACTGAGAACACTAGGTCGGATTGTCCTTTAGGGTTCTATGTAAAGCTCCTGGTAATTATACTTTGTTTACAGCCTTGTGCACACTTTTATCATCTCCTACAACATGGATTCGTGCTCTACAGACAGAAGTGACGTGTAGCTCCTAGATCAGAACACAACTAACATGACGTTATTTCTCCCAAATCACGTTATAGTATTCTGTCAGTGCTTTGAACATAGTTGTACACCCACAGGAGCTTAAGGGCCATGTCCTGTGGACAGGGCGGTCGTCGTTATATCTGATACCAAAATATCTCTGTGAAATGGTTTTTCTTCCTCAAATATCTCTGTGAAATGTTTTGTTCTTTTCCCTCAAATATGTCTGTGAAATGGTTTTTCCCTCAAATATGTATGTGAAATGTTTTTATCCCTCAAATTTGTCTGCGAAATGTTTTTTTCCCTCAAATATGTTTGTGAAATGTCTTTTTTCCCTCAAATATGTCTGCGAAATGTTTTTTTCCCTCAAATATGTTTGTGAAATGGTTTTTCCCTCAAATATGTTTGTGAAATGTCTTTTTTTTCCCTCAAATATGTCTGTGAAATGGTTTTTCCCTCAAATATGTCTGTGAAATGTCTTTTTCCCTCAAATATGTCTGTGAAATGGTTTTTCCCTCAAATATGTCTGTGAAATGTTTTTTTTCCCCTCAAATATGTATGTGAAATGTTTTTATCCCTCAAATTTGTCTGCGAAATGTTTTTTTCCCTCAAATATGTTTGTGAAATGTCTTTTTTTCCTCAAATATGTCTGTGAAATGGTTTTTCCCTCAAATATGTCTGTGAAATGTCTTTTTTCCCTCAAATATGTCTGTGAAATGGTTTTTCCCTCAAATATGTCTGTGAAATGGTTTTTTTTCCCTCAAATATGTCTGTGAAATGTTTTTATCCCTCAAATTTGTCTGCGAAATGTTTTTTTCCCTCAAATATGTTTGTGAAATGTCTTTTTTCCTCAAATATGTCTGTGAAATGTGTTTTTTCCTCAAATATGTCTGTGAAATGTGTTTTTTCCTCAAATATGTCTGTGAAATGTTTTTTTTCCCCTTAAATATGTCTGTGAAATGTGTTTTCTTCCTCGCTGATTGACATGTGGTTTTAACTGACTTAGTGGTTTACATAACGTCATTGTGAAAGCGGGATAGTAGAAACCACATCATTACCCAAAGTCATAGCATGTGTATAACCTTTACTGGTTCAATTATAAAGAAAGAACACATTTCATACGATTTTGATGGCCGTGCCGGTGTCGATGCATCAGAATGGTGCAATGATTGCAAGTGACAAACGATTTTCTGAAGAGAACATAGCTATCGCCGTTTCTCGGAATCGTATTGTTTTACTGCCTGAGCCGTTATGATGTCTTCAGGAGGGAAAATTTTATCTTGATGAAACATCAGTTAAAGCGTTGTATCTGTCACAATGGGTACATTTGTACTTTTTCTTTGAGAGTACAAACATCTGGGACCTGGTACTATTTTGAAAATACCAGATTCCCTTCTGGAATTCTAAAAACGTTTTACGTACATCAAAGAAACCGGTCTACCATTAGCTTTGTGTATATCAGACACTGTTCAATACTAGTAGTCACTTCCACAGATACATCATCGTTCAAATGTACTCGTATGCTTAAATAAGGTTTAGTTTCCAACCATTCCAGGTCTAATGAGATATTAATGACAAAGTCTCCGAGGTTCAGGGGTCAGGGAATCATTCTGCACTCTATAAAACATGGCCCAGACGTTCATAGAATTTCACAGGAAACTGGACGCATAGTAGGTTATTCTTAGTGATATAAGGTGAATAAGGATTATATAGAGACAGGTCAAAGGATATTTAAAGTAAGAAAAAAAGCTAAAATAAAGAATTACAGAAACACATTACATCTAACAGGATACTTACAGTAAGTAAAAAGACATTTTAAAAAGTGCAGAAAAACATTACGTGCAGAATATTAATTTAAAAGCTGAAGAAAAAAAGGATTAAATAGGAACATGTTACATGAGTTGTATATTAATTGTGAGATAAAAGATAAAAAACGAGTATACACAAACACGTGAAGTAGGATACTTAAAGGAAGATAAAAACTAGATAAGGATTATACAGAAATATTTATTGTAAGATAAAAGCTAGATAAGGATTATACAGAAATATTTATTGTAAGATAAAAACTAGATAAGGATTATACAGAAATATTTATTGTAAGATAAAAGCTAGATAAGGATTATACAGAAATATTTATTGTAAGATAAAAACTAGATAAGGATTATACAGAAATATTTAATTGTAAGATAAAAGCTAGATAAGGATTATACAGAAGCACATTACAAGAAGTAGGATATTTACAGCCAGATAAAAGCTTTATTACATTAAAGGTATTATGCAAGACCACGTGATTGAGCAGTAGATTATTCATATTAATTGTAAGCTAGAGTAGAATGTCACTGAAACATGTTACTTGTAGTAGGGTATTTACCGTAATGTATAATCTTGTGTAGAATTCCGTAGCAACACGTGAAATGCCATTCAACAAGGAATTCGCTGACATTATGGGAAGCATAAACAAGATAACGGTAACAAACGTCACCGTTATATAATCATAAATAGATGCCGGAGTTTTAGGATAATTTATCACCGTCACAAGGAAACCCATCTTAACACTTGAGTGGTTACGCTCACTAGCACTCTCTACATCTATGGAAAGTTTCACGGACAGGTCTATATGCGTCACCTTGTGGATAAGACGAGAAGACAAGCCTTTGATGTACATCAAATGAATCTCGAGGTCTCATAACAGTATATTGCACGTGCTTTGAAGTTGGATGTCGCTCTTTTGTAATTTTCAAAGCAGTGTATCAGCCTTTGATTACTGAGATTTTTTTCCTTTGGAATTCCACACTAGGCCAATCAAGTTATTTCACTCGTAAATGTTGTCATGAAATGTTGCAGGGATGCAGAGAACGATACCGTAAACCCCGTTTGATCTCAAACAATTGTGTTATTTACCAGATTAGCACGACGTTATTTCACAAACAAATAGAAATATAAAAGCATTCGATGTTCATCTTGAACTTTTGAGACCTTATTTAAGTTGGAATGTCGTTGCTGATTCCGCACGAGATGATGGTATTTGAGAGTCGCCCACGTCATCATCGATATAAAATACTCGTGATTCGGTGATGCTACGCAGCAAGTTGCTTTGTTTCATCATCATTATATATAGACATCTTCATCTTACCAAAGATTGGTTTTCATGAAACAAATACTTCTATCAGAAAAATGAAAGATTCAGTCATTTTGTAGTTGTGATATCAATCAGATAAAACAGATTACAACCAGTTCCTCTTCAAGGCTTTCGCGTGGGAAGTTGTATTCCTTTTAAAGATATTTAAATAGATTTCTATGAACTATAAGTAATACGTGGGGATTTATATCCCTTATAAGGTTGTGTGTATAGATTTATATAAACTTTATGTAACACGTGGATGTTTATATTCCTTATAAAGTTGTATGTGTAGATTTATATAAACTATGTAACACGAGGGAGTTTATATTCCTTATAAGGTAGTGTGTATAGATTTACAATAACTATATGTAACACGAGGGAGTTTATATTCCTTATAAGGTAGTGTGTATAGATTTACAATAACTATATGTAACACGTGGATGTTTATATTCCTTATAAAGTTGTATGTGTAGATTTGTATAAACTATGTAACACGAGGGAGTTTATAATTCTTATAAGGTAGTGTGTATAGATTTATATAAACTATGTAACACGAGGGAGTTTATATTCCTTATAAGGTAGTGTGTATAGATTTACAATAACTTTATGTAACACGTGGGAGTTTATATTCTTTATAAAGTTGTGTGTATAGATTTATATAAACTATGTAACACAAGGGAGTTTATATTCCTTATAAGGTAGTGTGTATAGATTTACAATAGCTTTATGTAACACGTGGGAGTTTATATTCCTTATAAAGTTGTATGTGTAGATTTATATAAACTATATGTAACACGGGGGAGTATATAATATATTACTTTAAAATTATATATATTTTTTCTATCTGACAGGAGTCGCTCAGGTAATGAACAAATCCGACGGTTTTTCCTTTGATGAACATGACGACCAGCTGTTTGAAGTAAGTGCCATTACTGTAGCGGACTCTGAGAAGGCTTCCTGAATGTTGATATATTAAAACATGTGTGATATCGTAGACGTGACACATTAGTTAGGAATTAAGTTATTTTAGAAGAATGTTAATCAAGTAACTCTGTAAATACGTCACATCATGACCACCTGGTCAATCGCAAAGAAATCTTTTTATGAATTTTGACATTCATTTTTACGTAAAATGTTTTTTCTTACAATCCTTTATGGATTTTTACAGGCTTTTACGATATTCTGCGGTTTGGGAATCAACAACTGTGTTCTGTACGAGGAGATAGCTCTATTGTTATCGAAACAAGCAGTCACGTTAGAGGTATGTAGAGTCGGGAACAATCGTATACATGTACCGACATACCTAATGTAAAGTGACAGATACTGGAGAAAAATGTTATACTTCCTGTTACAGTGTTACTCTGTGTATTCTGAAACTATACAAAAGACACACATTTAGTGTTAGATACAGTAGAGCCAAACAATGCATTAAACTTTACCATGCAGCTGTTTTTGAACTCGTCAGTGATACTAAAGGCCTAAATTTTAAATCCTAGAAGGCGAATGAGGAAAATTCAAAGTGATCGAAAGGATATTCCATATCTAGATGGGAAGGTGAACTAGCCCCATCATTTAATAATTTTCAAATATCAGATGATTTTCGAATAACGTCAAAGACGTGAATGCATTTTTAAATTGTACCACAAAATGTCCATCAGCAGTGTATATCACCTGCAATCTCAATGATTGTACAAAAGGCACACCCTTACATACGATTTTAATTTTTTTTTGAGATACAGTTGAGACAAACAATGAATTAAACTACATCATCAATCTAAAAAATCTCTTACGAAAAAAGGTAAATTTAGCTGCAGTTTTTGTTGGTGTAAATAAGACAACAAAAACAAGTAAACGCCGATACAATAATGTGTCGCAACTCAAACGTAAAATGAGGAATAGGACATCAAATATGGACAAAAGGTCGCTGATCTCGTAGCGAGAAAACATTTTACCTTATTTATAAGAATTCGTCATAAGAATGGCCCCTTTCCAGATAACTCCTGCAGACGTAGGATGGAATTATTGAGATTATCAACATACACACTGTCATAGATTTGCTTCTTCAATGTCGACAGATAGAAACAACATGCTTAATACCAGAAATGTCCATGTTTATTATGGTGTTCTTAAAGAATTCTACAACCATTATAAAGATATGAAAACCCGCAATGTTTATCGAAAATCAAGTAACAGGACAAATGTAGGAATTATGGCAGCCGAATGGATTTTTTATACTTCTTATCTCCCCTCTTTTGCTCTCTTGCTGTTAAGAAATCTCTCTCATCTTGTCCATAAAGAAAATGGTTTGTCACGTTTTTGACTCGGAGACAAAAGCATTGGTGAACAGGTGTTACTATAAGACGAGAGTACGAGTGACATGTCTTTTATCTGAAACGAGAGTGTGAATATGATGTCTTTTATCTGAAACGAGAGCGTGCATATGATGTGTTTTATCTGAAACGAGAGTGTGAATATGACGTGTTTTAACACAGAATTAACGGACAATATGTACTGCTTTGGAATAAAATTTCTACCTTAATGACGAAAAAGGGAATGGACGACTTGTTCAGGATTAAAAAGTAAATTATGAGCTATGCGTGTAAAATTTACCAAGTTAAGACAGTATAAAAGACGCATTAGTGAATAGAAATTTACTAATAAATAAATCTAATAAAAACAAGTCAAGCCAGATAATGAATCAAACTGGACGATAAAGCGATTTCGTCTTTCTTCGGCTAGTAAGTGATTCTATGGTCCTTAGTTTTGAAACCAAAGAGGCATCTGAGAATTCAGCGTTCTCGACAGGAAAGTTTAAATCTAACCTGATAGATTATAATCGAATTTTTGAGTGTATCATAAGTTAACATTCTCCAATCTGGTTTCTTGTTCCCCTTGATGCTCTGTCCAATCAATATTAATAGTATTACAAACATATAACAGATGCACCACCTCTGACGTACCTTACGTGTTTAAATCACAAAGAAGATCGGCTTGTGGAGGCGAAATTGCTACAAATCAGATTACAGTATAGAGCAAGCATATATCAGACATGAAATTTTATATCATTTCTATTGAAATAATTCACCTGATCTAAAAGCCCCAAGGAAGAGTTTGATGTATATCTAACACTACCACATAAAGAGATCAATACTTTCCGAAGAAATCTCATCTATCGATTTCTGTTATTTTAGACTCTATCCTACCATTCTGGTGTATCAGCCACAGACGTGGTGCGACTTAAGGTAAGTCATCGTGTAAGTGATCGGGAAAGCAATATATCATTCATAAATCATGTGATCGAGCTAATAGTTTTGATTGGATGGATCCGTTTTACTTAAATGTGATGATATCCGATTACTGTTAGTACAATCCAGTATTATAGTGTCATTCAGTGACAAAATGATATCTAACCAAATGTTTTGTCTTGCACGTTATGGATAAAAAAGTAAATATTTTAAATAGTCGTGCAGTATCACGTCAGAGTGTATGTGTATTTAGACAATTCAATTACAATTCAGTGATGTGGGCACCGCTGAGTCATTAAGACATCTATTTAATCTGGAGTTTGAGATTCCAAACCTAAACAAGAATTACAATTTAGTGATTAAAGAGGACGTTTTGCTGGATTTTTGAATGACGTAACGGTGCCAAAATCCGTCTGCTCTTACGTCTTGACCTCTTAACCCTATCACTTCGTCAAGTATTGAATTAATTAATTTCATACGTTGTATACATAAATTGGGTGTTTTTGTATATTTTGTTTCCCTATAAAATAAACTATTGCTGTAGAACGGCCGAGATGACGTTGCTATGGTAGTATCTTAATTTGACGAGGATCATAATTTTTTAAATAGTTACTTTAGTTTGTTTCTTTATCTTGACAAAGTGGATAATTGGTTAAAATTCCCTAAATTTCTTTCTATTAAAGCACGAAGTTTTTGAAAATATACGATTGAAGCGGTTTTTTAAAATTTCTATGACATTTTTGACGTCATACCTTCATACGTCCTTAAGGAAAACAATACCGATAAATACAGTTATTGTTTATTTACATTTGAAACCATTTCCACTCTCAAGCGATGTTCACTTTCCACACAGAGCCAGAAAGTACCGGAGACCACGGAATGGAAACTGGACAGTCATAGATTTAACGATTTCTCTCTCACCAAAGACGAGATGTTGGTGGCCTCTATTAGAATTTTCAAAGATTTAGGATTCATTAGGAAGTTTAAAATTGATTACGAGGTAAGATTTTTAATTGATTGACACGTGGAATTCACGATCCACGCGTTCATTAACTTATTCTTCTGCACTTTAATGAAAACCTACCTGACCACTGAACACTAGTCAATTTGAATTTATGTGCAATATGAATGTCGCCTGGATAACGGATGAAATGACCTGTGCCCGTCAGGACCTTAGTGACGATATAGAGAAGTGGAGTCAAGAGACAACACGAGAAAATTGATTTTGTCATTCATATCTATTTCATGAGAGTCTCAAAAACAATGGGATTTGAAGAAATTTCCGTCATGTCTGGTGTTGTATGTACGTTTTACTTTTTTCGTGTCTAATGCTTCTCTATAATGCCAATGTTTGTGACATTCGTCGAATTGATGTGGAATGAGAATGTTTTACTTTCGTTTTGTTTAGGTTCTGTGTCGATGGCTGCTGACAGTAAGGAAAAACTACCGAAACGTTGCCTACCACAACTGGAGACATGCATTTAACGTGTGTCAGACTATGTTCGCTTCCTTAAAGGTGAAGCTTGCGAAACAGTTCGATTTCTTTAATAAAAACTTAGCATGCGGGAACCTTATAAAAATTGTCAACATGTTTAGGCTGTAACTGCGTCATTCTGCTCTGAAGTTTTGTAATTACGTGGGTATCTGAAAAAATAAACATAAGAGAACTCCTGTCAAAGATTCTTTGTGAATTGTAGGAGAAAAATATATCACCTTATGCTTATGTGCTTATTGATATTATTTCACTATTCTAGAATGGTTAATTTAACTAGAGCATGGACTGTTTGCCGATAATATATATAGTGATATGGCCTAGATAAGCAGTGCTTTCATCGGCAGAGTAAATCCTTACGAACATCTATGTATAACGTCAGTGGCATACAAAAGTCTAAATATGTTACTTCACTAACGATACTGTAATTATTTTGTTTAGTTCTTTTTGATAGCTTACGTCGGAAATGGAATAAAATCGAAATCAAATCTGCTTTAAGCTATAATAAAGAAAAAAAAACTTCAAAAAACAACTTTAAAAGTTTAAAATAGAGCAAACCTCAAAGACGTTTGCATAAACTTATAAAATAACTTGTTAACAAGTTCATACATTTTTTGAATAACTTGTTTACAACTTCATAAACTAATAAAATAACTTGTTGACAAGTTCGTAAACTTATAAAATAACTTGTTAACAAGTTCGTAAACGCAGATCTATTTCAGCTTTTGCTGATAGGAGAGTGATTAACTACCTCACTATTTGATTGTTACTGGCTGGTCTCAAGCTGGATTATGTTTTAAAATGATGATTTTGTTATAGAGAAGTGGAGTAAAGCGACACCTGTCGGACAAGGAGACATTAGCGTTGGTGGTTGGATGTCTTTGTCATGACCTAGATCACAGGGGTACTAACAACGCCTTCCAGCAAAAGTCAGTACAACATCAATATACGGATGATTTATGTACAAGTCAGTACAACATCAATATACGGATGATTTATGTACAAGTCAGTACAACATCAATATACGGATGATTTATGTACAAGTCAGTACAACATCAACATACGGATGATTTATGTACAAGTCAGTACAACATCAACATACGGATGATTTATGTACAAGTCAGTACAACATCAACATACGGATGATTTATGTACAAGTGTTTCAGCTGCTGAACCACTTAACGAAAGCAGATTGGGGTTGGACGGGAAACTATATTGTTTAATGCTAGGACGGGTAGTTTGTTTTTTTTCAGGACAGGATAATTAACTGTTTTGGTTCGGGACCAGAAGGGTAGCTATTTTGCTGTGGATATGACGGGAAATTATTCTGGTTCAGGATAGGATTCGGAACTATTTAAGAAGGGGATATGAAGGGGATTTTTTGGTTCGAGAAAGGCAATACATTCTTTCAGAACCTCTTTGACTCGGGAGAGGACAAAGGACTTTTTTCGGTGCGGGGTAGAACGAGGATCTATTTTGGTGCGGGATAGGACAAAGGACTTTTTTCGGTGCGGGGTAGAACGAGGATCTATTTTGGTGCGGGATTGGACAAAGGACTTTTTTCGTGCGGGATAGAGTGAGGATCTATTTTAGTTCGGGAAAGACAGGTAGCTATTTTAGTAGAGGACAATTATTTTGGTTAGAGAACTTTCTGGTTCGGAATGTGACGGGGCACTATATTGGTTCGGAAAGTGAAAAGCGCCTTTCGATAAAATTTAGATTAGACTGCATCATACAAGTGTTTTGTCCTAGGACTCGACAGTGATGTTAAACAAGCGTGTTTAATGTATTGATTGCCCTTCTGCACTATAATTAATCTCAGATAACATTTACATCTGTTCCTTAGAAGCAATGTTAATGTTGGCTGTGACGACTAGCATACCTTGTACAGTGATGTAACGAAACGTTGGTTTATGACAAGGATTGACATCAGTATGAGTCGTGACATTGTATTTGAACAATTAACAGGGTGATAGGTGATATAATCTAGTTTTCTTCTGAGTGTTATTATATCAAATATCTAAACCATTATCCTTGGTTTTAAAATATCAACACGATTCAATATCGTTACTACCTGTACTAACAGCTGACTTACTGGTTTGCAGAACTGGATCTGCGCTTGCTCAGTTGTACGGTACCAACGGCACAATGGAACACCACCATTTCAACCATGCAGTCACAATACTAAACAGTGAGGTATGTAACCATTTCAACCATGCAGTCACAATACTCAACAGTGAGGTATGTCACCATTTCAGTCATGTAGTCACAATACTTAACAGTGAGATATGTAACCATTTCAGTCATGTAGTCACAATACTCAACAGTGAGGTATGTGACCATTTCAACCTTGCAGTCACAATACTTAACAGTGAGGTATGTAACCATTTCAATCTTGCAGTCACAATACTCAACAATGAGGTATGTAACCATTTCAATCTTTCAGTCTCAACACTTTAGAGAATAACACAGACCTATGTTACACAGTTTCACTCACTAATTGCATGTGTTTAAAAATTTTGTTTTTAGGAACAGTTCGTCACGTTTAAAGACGTGAAAAATCGCAGACGTCTGCAGTTAGGAAATGTAGGGGCTGCGTTCTTCATGAACATTTATCATTCGCCTCAGCATTCTTTGAGCATGTGACATCAAATTGTCTGTGTGTACCAGCTGATGGATGATATGGAGGATACAAATTAACTTGTCTGGAAACAGAAACATAGATATCTGTGATCGCTTAAAAGCGATTAATGTCGAAAAAGGGAACTGTGCCTTCGATAAAAAATCGAAGGATCATTGCGACATTAAACAATTATCGACTTTTGTAGGTTAATACGAAGATACCACCTTATAAGTCTTCGTAAATCTTCTTCAGACATTGGAGCTAATCGGCTTTCTTGACAACTCTGGTCGTCTGCCATGTTTGAAAAAACAGATAAAGCTGCCTTCTCATTGGTCGAAAGTATATCGCGTCATGGAAATTCCCTGTTAATAATTTCAGACTAAGTTATTAATTTGCGGTATCAATCGCTCGTGCAAGAATTTGTCGGTTTGAGGTTAACATCGCATTTTGTCGAAACCAGTGAGAGACCTCAGAGTTAATTACAAGAGAGGATTTTCTCAGTCATATAACAATAACTTGAGTGTAGAAGGACAGATGATCCGTCAACCATTGATCAGGAGGTTAAGAAATATTTTAATTACTTATCCTATAATCCTGAAATAGCAACAATATTACATTCTTTTCCTATGCTCCAAAACGATACGGCATCACAAAAATCTAATTAGAAATCACGATCTGCGTTGAAATATTAAGGTAACATTATTGATAAGACAAAAACTGCTGGAGTTCCTTAAAAAAACCTGTTTGTATAAATCAATGTACTAACAATTCCAATATAACGTGTGTTTTTATACAATAAATAACGGAAATCCGTAGGAACTTCACATTATTATATAACCGGCACCGCACATCATTAGGGACAATTCCATTATGTAGGAAAATTACGGTGTTTTTTGTTTCCATCATTTTGAGGTAATAAATGACTCAATCGGAATATTTAGTAATTAATAACTAAAAGATGTAGACAGCCAGCAAAAAAGGAAAACAGGAAGTTAGATAACGAAAAATTATCTTCTTTCTTGTATTTGCTATCCAATTATATAGAAGATTCTTTAAGACAAAAGTACAACGTAATATATTTTGTATTTAAGTATTTTAGTTATAATACATGTACTTACCGTGATACCTTGATTTGTAGATTATTTGACCTATTAACCTCGGTAAAGATTCAAGCTGTTGGGTGTAGACGTTATCTCTGTTAGTTTCTGTTTCTCTAGAAGTTGAAAGCGCGGACCGGTATGAGATATTGTGATTGTTCCCTAAGGGAACAGACCGTACTACATTTTGTCATGAATATCAGATGACGGAACTCCAGCGCGATTTTTGGTGAGGTAGTCACCAATTATTACAGGGAGACCCCTCAGTATAATGAACAATGAAGACAGTTTCTCTGTACTTGAAAAGTGGTGTTTACCTCGGCTTTGGATCTTTGTGAACTTTAATTGGATGAATAAATTCTCGTGTTAACTAATTGTGAAACCACAAGAAAATATGAACATAATCATAATCCAAACTCAAATTCAATAATGAAAAAATTACACGGAGATTCATGAAAAAGTACAAGGAAAACAAGACCAGGTGTTCCGAAAGAGTAAGCGTCTTGCTTCATCGACCACATCCGCCATGTACATCTTTGTCAATTTAAGTATGTAATGCCGCGTTCCTAAATCAGAATAGGCTATTCAACAACCAAAGCGACAGGCAAACTAACGAGCAACAAATATACTTAATAAGCTTCATGATGAATGAATCTCTATGACGACAGTAAAGCTTCCCAAAATTTTACATCAACCTATATCTCTCGAAACCCTGTGTTGTGAGTTTGTCTCTGAGTTGTCGACATCTTGCACGAAAAATGTGATATTGTGAAAATCCCCTTAAATATCGCTTTAACAACGACACGTAAATACAGTAGGTAGCACAGGGAAGTTGCTATCCAGATATAGAAAATCAGTACTTGTATTCTAGAGTAATAACACGGTATATTTTATTTCTGTGTAATAACACGGTATATTGTATTCTAGAGTAATAACATGTTATATTTTATTCCTAAGTAATAACATGTTATATTTTATTCCAGGGTAATAACATATTCGCCAATTTTACGTCCGAAGAGTATAGTGGCATTATAACATTACTGAAGGAGTCTATTTTGGCGACCGATCTCTCCCTCCACATACAGTGAGTATCGCCAATGTCTACTGGCCACAAATACAGTAAATCGGGATGTTTTAGGGATGTTTTAGTTCCAGCAAATTCGCTATTAACATGAATCATCACAAATTTATAATACAGATTTCAAACAAATTCTTAGAGTAATCATTTAAAGCCCCTATCATTCTTTTGGTCCTTATTCGAAACAAAAATTTTTTTTGCATAAGTGTGAACTCTGTTTACCGATATCTGCAACGAAAACATTGTTATCATTTATCAAGTCATAAAATGCAGAATTATCCATTTATTTTTTTGAGGTTACGTAACAAGTTTTTCGCAATGGTCGACTCCGGCCAAAGCGCATGGGATGACCGAGAATCAAAAGAAACTCTCCGAAGTATACTGATGACGTCAAGTGATATAGCCTCGATAACAAAACCGTGGCAAATACAGCGAAAGGTAACCACGCGTTAGCACATTATTTCTCTTTCATCACTAAAAGCATCGAAAGTTTTCGCTGTTTAAGACTTTTGCCACAGGGGCGTGGCTGTATACCCATTCTAATACTTTTTGTATTAAAGCATTTGATGCGTTTAACTGTACATTTTTGATAGATATGGCCATCTCTTTGGATTTAGTCAGGGTAAAATTATTCAGATGTATGCAAATTACAAAATCCTTTGAAATAAATGGCTCGCGCACCTCCCTAACAAGATTGTGATTTTTCTTTCGATCACTGTAGTTTTTTCACTCGTCCTAGGCTTAAAAATAAACGCCTGGCATCACTAACGAGTCCTAGAAGGACGAAACAGCTGTATGATGTAGCATCACTAACGAGTAATAGAAAGATAAAACAGCTGTATGATGTAGCATCACTAACGAGTCCTAGAAGGAAGAAACAGCTGTATGATGTAGCATCACTGACGGGTAATAGAAAGACGAAACAGCTGTATGATGTAGCATCACTGACGGGTAATAGAAAGACGAAACAGCTGTATGATGTAGCATCACTAACTAGTCCTAGAAAGACGAAACAGCTGTATGATGTAGCATCACTAACAAGTAATAGAAAGACGAAACAGCTGTATGATGTAGCATCACTAACAAGTAATAGAAAGACGAAACAGCTGTATGATGTAGCATCACTAAGGGTCCTAGAAGGACGAAACAGCTGTATGATGTAGCACCACTAACGAGTAATAGAAAGATAAAACAGCTGTATGATGTAGCATCACTAACGAGTCCTAGAAGGAAGAAACAGCTGTATGATGTAGCATCACTGACGGGTAATAGAAAGACGAAACAGCTGTATGATGTAGCATCACTGAAGGGTAATAGAAAGACGAAACAGCTGTATGATGTAGCATCACTAACTAGTCCTAGAAAGACGAAACAGCTGTATGATGTAGCATCACTAACAAGTAATAGAAAGACGAAACAGCTGTATGATGTAGCATCACTAACAAGTAATAGAAAGACGAAACAGCTGTATGATGTAGCATCACTAACAAGTAATAGAAAAACGAAACAGCTGTATGATGTAGCATCACTAACAAGTAATAGAAAGACGAAACAGCTGTATGATGTAGCATCACTAACAAGTAATAGAAAGACGAAACAGCTGTATGATGTAGCATCACTAACAAGTAATAGAAAGACGAAACAGCTGTATGATGTAGCACCGCAAACGAGTAATAGAAAGACGAAACAGTTGTATGATGTAGCACCACTAACTAGTCCTAGAAGGACGAAACAGCTGTATGGTGTAGCATCACTAACGAGTCCTAGAAGGACGAAACAGCTGTATGATGTAGCATCACTAACTAGTCCTAGAAGGACGAAACGGCTGTATGATGCAGTTTATTCATTTTTTGGCTCTCTACTGTATACAACACTAAATTTGTAATAAAAGGTGTTATTAACTTTGGTATCTTTTGTATAATCTATAATATAACAGATAATTTTGAAAAAAAAACTCAGCCAATCACTTTTGTGTGTGTGTGTGATTGAAGAGGACGGTATGTTTGCTGAAGATCAAATTCATCGTCATATTTCTTTTAACAAATGCTCAGTGACAATACTTTTATATATATATATATATATATATATATATATATATGTTTTTTTTTTGAGAACTTGATGAGGGATGGTGTTTTTGGATTTTTAATAAAAAATACTCATTCAATTCTTTATTATTGCAAATATTTAAGAAAACGGAAAAAATATCAGTATTCATACATTTAGACTTGAGAGTAATTTCAAATAAAGGGAGGTAATTCTGACCGGCAAAAGTAACTGAATAACAATATATTCTATTTCTCTTTCATTAAGCTGAAAACAAGATCTTTTCGTATTACTTTATTCATATTTTTTAAAAAATTATTAAACTTGAAATATTTTACTAAATACAAACATGGTTTTTTATTATCATTTTAATGTTACTCATCCTAAAACATTTCAGCAAGCAGGTCATTTCTATTCTCGTGAAAACTTCTAACGAGATTACACAATAATGCCTCGTGTTTATAACTGACTTAAATATATCTGATCAGTGTGTTGATATATGTATTTGAAATACTTAATATGAGGGAAATAGTGATATCTATTAAACAAAGTCTTGTGAACAAATTTGTGTTAGTAGATGATCGAAAACTCACATAATTTATTAAAATGTAAGTGACTGCACTCTGATGTACTTCCGTCTCTGCCTTAATGCGATAAGTGAGGGCCTGTGAGTTATGAAAATATCATATATTAGATGAGTATTATCATATAACGCATTAAAACATTGGGATGAACAAACTTCCTTTTATCTTGAACAGCCAGTCGACACAAGGAAGTTTTAAAAATAAAACCTTAATGTTTGGAGACAGCTGGCAGTTCCTATCACATATCTCAAGTGTGAAATTGAATTCTAAAAATATTTCAAGTACTATGTTGATATTCAAGTACATTGTACTTGAATAGCAACACAGTTTTTTCCTGCTTCATAACGATATTTTAGATCGACATTTATTTTACTGTAAAATGTATTACTTGTTTGTAGTGTATAAATAACCCCCCAAACTTAAATCTGTTACTCCTGGTAAAACCCATAAAAATAATAGTATTAATAAGATAATATAAACCTCACTGTCATTCTCTGTATCTCTGGAACATGTCATGGCAAGATTAAAGGTTTCGTGTGCGACACCTTGTGTCGAGAAGATTATTTGATCCTTTGATGCACATCAAACTAATCGCGATATTGCATAACCTGTTGTCCTAGCTTTGAAGCTGGCTCCTTTGTAATCTTTACAAGAGCGTTCCGGTCTGTGATCGATCTTTTTCTTCTCCTGAAACCGACTCCAGGCCAATTAATACCTTCACTTCTGCCTTCTTTTGAATAGCACTTCTTGACTTCAGAAGTTTAACATCATACGTCCTTCCAAGACTCGTCAGTGATGCTTAGGGCCTAAACATATGAAGCCAAGCAGCAGTACCACCTTGTAAACTACATTCGCCAACGTTGATGAAATTGCTGATACGTAAATACTTCAATATATGCATGTACCTGATATAAGATTATAGGGAGAACGATATCTTTAATAATCAATTAAACTTTATTATTGTGTATTTTTATGACTTTGTGTCTATTTGCCTTTAGGCCGCAGACCTAGTGATGTCCGAGTTTTTTGACCAGGGAGACAAGGAAAAACACCAGTTGAATATACAGCCACAGGTGAGTGTTGTCCAGTAGATTTGTTTTGTTATCGAAACTTTTATGACAGGTAATACATATAAACAAAAATAATTATACGGAGGATATATTGGTGAATAACACCACGGGTACAAAAACAGTAAGATAACTTCTTCCACTGACAATGCCAAAACGGTGTAAAAGTAGTTATTCTTCTACTGCACTGACAACTGTAAATACGGTGTAAAAGTAGTCATTCTTCTACTACACTGACAACTGTAAATACGGTGTATAGTCATTCTTCTACTACACTGACAACTGTAAATACGGTGTAAAAGTAGTCATTCTTCTACTGCACTGACAACTGTAAATACGGTGTATAGTCATTCTTCTACTGCACTGACAACTGTAAATACGGTGTATAGTCATTCTTCTACTGCACTGACAACTGTAAATACGGTGTAAAAGTAGTCATTCTTCTACTACACTGACAACTGTAAATACGGTGTAAAAGTAGCGACAACTGTAAATACGTGTAAAAGTAGTCATTCTTCTACTACACTGACAACTGTAAATACGGTGTAAAAGTAGTCATTCTTCTACTACACTGACAACTGTAAATACGGTGTATAGTCATTCTTCTACTACACTGACAACTGTAAATACGGTGTAAAAGTAGTCATTCTTCTACTACACTGACAACTGTAAATTCTTCTACTACATTGACAACTGTAAATACGGTGTAAAAGTAGCCATTCTTCTACTACATTGACAACTGTAAATACGGTGTATAGTCATTCTTCTACTACACTGACAACTGTAAATACGGTGTATAGTCATTCTTCTACTACACTGACAACTGTAAATACGGTGTATAGTCATTCTTCTACTACACTGACAACTGTAAATACGGTGTAAAAGTAGTCATTCTTCTACTACACTGACAACTGTAAATACGGTGTAAAAGTAGTCATTCTTTACTACATTGACAACTGTAAATACGGTGTATAGTTATTCTTCTACTACACTGACAACTGTAAATACGGTGTAAAAGTAGTCATTCTTCTACTACACTGACAACTGTAAATACGGTGTTAAAGTAGTCATTCTTCTACTACACTGACAACTGTAAATACGGTGTAAAAGTAGTCATTCTTCTACTACACTGACAACTGTAAATACGGTGTAAAAGTAGTCATTCTTCTACTACACTGACAACTGTACTGTAAATACGTAAATACGGTGTATAGTCATTCTTCTACTGCACTGACAACTGTAAATACGGTGTATAGTCATTCTTCTACTACACTGACAACTGTAAATACGGTGTAAATACGGTGTAAAAGTAGTCATTCTTCTACTACACTGACAACTGTAAATACGGTGTAAAAGTAGTCATTCTTCTACTACACTGACAACTGTAAATACGGTGTAAAAGTAGTCATTCTTCTACTACACTGACAACTGTAAATACGGTGTAAAAGTAGCCATTCTTCTACTACACTGACAACTGTAAATACGGTGTAAAAGTAGTCATTCTTCTACTACACTGACAACTGTAAATACGGTGTAAAAGTAGTCATTCTTCTACTACACTGACAACTGTAAATACGGTGTAAAAGTAGTCATTCTTCTACTACACTGACAACTGTAATTCTTCTACTACACTGACAACTGTAAATACGGTGTAAAAGTAGTCATTCTTCTACTACACTGACAACTGTAAATACGGTGTAAAAGTAGTCATTCTACTGCATTGACAACTGTAAATACGGTGTAAAAGTAGTCATTCTTCTACTACACTGACAACTGTAAATACGGTGTAAAAGTAGTCATTCTTCTACTACACTGACAACTGTAAATACGGTGTAAAAGTAGTCATTCTTCTACTACACTGACAACTGTAAATACGGTGTAAAAGTAGTCATTCTTCTACTACACTGACAACTGTAAATACGGTGTATAGTCATTCTTCTACTACACTGACAACTGTAAATACGGTGTAAAAGTAGTTCTTCTACTACATTGTAAATACGGTGTAAAAGTAGTCATTCTTCTACTACACTGACAACTGTAAATACGGTGTAAAAGTAGCCATTCTTCTACTACACTGACATCTGTTTATACGGTGTAAAAGTAGTCATTCTTCTACTACACTGACAACTGTAAATACGGTGTAAAAGTAGTCATACTTCTACTACACTGACAACTGTAAATACTGCACTGACAACTGTAAATACGGTGTAAAGTCATTCTTCTACTACACTGACAACTGTAAATACGGTGTAAAAGTAGCCATTCTTCTACTACACTGACAACTGTAAATACGGTGTAAAAGTAGTCATTCTTCTACTACACTGACAACTGTAAATACGGTGTAAAAGTAGTCATTCTTCTACTACACTGACAACTGTAAATACGGTGTATAGTCATTCTTCTACTACACTGACAACTGTAAATACGGTGTAAAAGTAGTCATTCTTCTACTACACTGACAACTGTAAATACGGTGTAAAAGTAGTCATTCTTCTACTACACTGACAACTGTAAATACGGTGTATAGTCATTCTTCTACTACACTGACAACTGTAAATACGGTGTATAGTCATTCTTCTACTACACTGACAACTGTAAATACGGTGTAAAAGTAGTCATTCTTCTACTACACTGACAACTGTAAATACGGTGTAAAAGTAGTCATTCTTCTACTACACTGACAACTGTAAATACGGTGTAAAAGTAGTCATTCTTCTACTACACTGACAACTGTAAATACGGTGTAAAAGTAGTCATTCTTCTACTGCACTGACAACTGTAAATACGGTGTATAGTCATTCTTCTACTACACTGACAACTGTAAATACGGTGTAAAAGTAGTCATTCTTCTACTACACTGACAACTGTAAATACGGTGTAAAAGTAGTCATTCTTCTACTACACTGACAACTGTAAATACGGTGTGTAGTCATTCTTCTACTACACTGACAACTGTAAATACGGTGTAAAAGTAGTCATTCTTCTACTACACTGACAACTGTAAATACGGTGTAAAAGTAGTCATTCTTCTACTACACTGACAACTGTAAATACGGTGTAAAAGTAGTCATTCTTCTACTACACTGACAACTGTAAATACGGTGTAAAAGTAGTCATTCTTCTACTACACTGACAACTGTAAATACGGTGTATAGTCATTCTTCTACTACACTGATAACAGCTGTCGTAAAAATCGGGGTCAAATCCGTGGTAATCAGGAAGCTTCATGTCAGATTTTTTTATTACACATATACTTGACATTGTTTTGAAATAATCCGAAATGTGGAAATTATTAAGTATATATATTGATAAAAGGAATCTTACAATTTTCCATTCTAGATTTTGACATTTCTTCCGCCTAATCTTCATTTCCACAGTACAATTATTAGTTTCATTACTTCTGGTCTTCTACATCCGGCATCACTGACCTAGAAGGACGAAATAGCTGCACGATGCAGTTCAGTTTCTCATTTGTCTCTTTATTAATGTTATTTTTGTGTTACGAGCTCTTCCTTTTTTCGTATCTACAACTCCCCATATCGCACAAGAGAAAGTGTGATGTATTACAATAAGACTTCAATTATAATAGCGCTGGTTTGGTAATAACCGTAGCCATGGATATTTTCAAATCTTTGAAATCACATACCGACTGTAATATTGAAGAAATGCGCATTATATGTTGAACCTATTGCTCATAAAGTGTTAATTTAATCTTGCTGAAATAGAATCCTATTTTTCATTCTTTACCACAAAGGCCTGCATGGACCGGGAACGTCAGGACGAGCTACCAAAACTGCAAATGGGCTGGATAGACGGAATTTGTCTTCCTTTGTATAATGTAACTTTCTCACTATAACTTTTACAAATTTAGTCAAATATCATAACTGTTATATCAGACAATATTTATATTTTTAATCTGCGAACAAAGAACATTTTTCTGAATAGAAATATTTTCCTAAAGGTATTAAAATAGACTTTATCGAATCACACAATGAAAATATAAGAAATTCTCCAAATTGAAATAGCTATTGTATTCGATTCCAAAATGAAAAAATATTTGAAATACATTAACGTTAAAAAAACATCCAAAGAAATGTGACAGACGTGTATCTTGCACCCTTTCACACACTTCCGTTACCGCAAGCGAGTTACTGTATAACTAGCTTCTTATTGATTGTTTGTTAATTTATTGTTGTTTCAGGCAATGGCGAAAATGGACATATATTTTTCACCATTGAAAGAGGGTGTTTTAGCTAACAGAGGCTACTGGGAGAAAATGGACGCCGATAAGCTTGCCAAAGACATTGTTCGTGAAACTGGAGTCTAAAGAAAAATTTTACAGATGAGAACGGCACATTTCAACATTTGATATATTTTACCAGACTTTTTAATAAGTAATTTTAAACAGCGCCAGAAAGGTATCGGTGATAGTAACTGTTATGAAAGCTTGTTCCGAAAATTGCGCATTAACGAGGAGATGTAGTTTAATCTTCATAATAAGGGATAAAAGCTTCGTCACAGATCTGGTGTATTTAAGCAATGTTCTGTAGACATACTCATACAATTAGAATCCATTCAACCATTCTAACGTTTTATAGTATTTGATACAACAATATGATACTATCTGTAAAATTGTGAGAGCTGATACGCTTGAAAATTTTCTCGCAAAATCTAGGTCATCGTTCATTGGACAGAGTGACGATAATTCATCACAATTAAGTATATATATCTACAACCATTAATTATAACACCGCTATTTGCTTGGTACAACAACTCACTTACGTGAGAATACTTTACCACGTGAGTGTTTTACCGCGTGAGTGTTTTACCACGTGAGTGTTTACCGCATGTGTTCGCCATGTCTCATTCTATTCAGTTGTATCACTGTGAGTATTGTTGAGTTTACATAGTGTAGGTACAAACACTGTATTTGACTATATAACTTGTTCATTATGCCATTTTGATTTTATATTCAAGCAACGACTAGAAAATCCTTACACGATCTCTACATACAAAACAAGGATATCGGGAAAATGTCACATACACTTGGTAATATCTGGGTACTTCTCAAGGAAACATCGTGTCATTGATTTATTTACCTTTTCAATATAAGGATGCGTAATTTTGTGTTTATTTTTCATAGTCCTTTTATGCTGATTTCAATTTGATATGTGTTGTTAATATAGCGAGTTGAATATAAATTGCATGCAATGTTTTCACATCTAAGGGAAATATGAAAAAACCTGTATCAGTTTTTGTTCTTATTGGCCTTGTTACGTGTGTATTCATCTGCAACAAAACAGACAAGTATCATGTTTTCATTCAAATGTATAAAACAATAATGAAGACACCAGTCAATACATTAGAATAGTCTTTTACCTGGTGTATTCTACATGTTTTTAGCACACCGGAAGTGGTTATTGAATAATAAAGTCTTGCGTGCTTTTCCAATGAGTTGCTGTCAGCTTTTTTTATCTTTAAGATCTACATGTCACAGCACATGATAAGATTTCCCTAACATTGACACCTAGAATTCTTCCTTTATTGAGAAAGAACAGCAAAAATAAATGACAAAACAAAAAACATACAAAATAAATAAATAAATAAACAAATAAAATAAATAAAAACCAAGAAATTATCAATATCAACATGTCAACATAATCAAATTCCAAAAAAAGGGAATAAGAGAAGGTGTACCGGAAGAGTAAGCGATTTCTGCTCCATCGACGACAACCGCCATGTAAATTTTGGTCAATCCAAGTAAGTAATGTCGTAACAACGGGACAAACATACAAACATCCAGGAGCACTGGAACAGCCAACGTGACATCGTCAATACTGACTATAAATGATGGTGAGACCTGGGGTGATTCCTCAAAGACGGTAATCAAACCTTTCACGTATTTAATTTAATTGTTAATTTGAAATGTTTATTTATAATAACGTCCATCAACAGATACACATCATCAATTAGTTATGTAGGATACAAAAGGGTTATGTTTCAATATTTAGCGATCATATTTGATATATGATTTAATAAACAGACAATAGCAACGATACAACCAAACATGATTGGTCAATTTTAGGGGCGATATGTCCCAGTATCGAAACACACAAAAATACAAAACAAAAATGATTGGTCAATTTTAGGGGCGATATGTCCCAGTATCGAAACACAAAAATACAAAATAAAAATTCATAGAACAATATAACATGATGGTACGTGTAAATCAACAATCTTATATCAACAAAGAAACATGACTTCTTCGGGCCGATTACAGAACAAGGCCATATGCTGTCATAGCTTAAAGCATCTTTAGATACTTCATTATCTGAATCGAATTGTCGAGAAGGTTAAAATGTATATTTGCATATTTTTCTACTCATATACATCCAAAACATCGGTTTGTAAAAATCCGGTGACCATATTTGACTATACCGACAACATGAGATGTATCCATGATGGCTTGGTTACTTTATTGGATGACCGCTGGTGTCGATAAGATTAAGATCGAACCTGAGATACTCGTCCCCAACAACAAAAAATATTGTTACAGTTCAATAAGTGTTACATGTTCATACTAGGATATCAGATCGAAGTATTTTTACAGAACAGAATTAAAACAATTTGATGACATTCAACTGATGTCGATAAAATATATCCCATGTTTTTCCTGATGACAAGTGTTAGGGAGGTACGGAACTGTACATGGCTGTTCCCTCAATTGTGACATGAGTAGAATCTTATGTCACAGGAAGTTGTAATATTGTCACACATTAATGATGAACGTGAACGACAAATAAGGTACTGACATGTCAACAGAACATTGAATCAAATTCGATAAAGCTGGAGCCAAATATGAGCAAACATTTGCGAATGCTCCAGAAAAATTACAAGGGAAACAAGACCAGGCGTTTGAAAAGGAAGAACGTCCTATGTGCATCGATGGCACTTATTATACATCTTATATATCAATCACTTTGGACTACTACACAATCTAACAATGCATAGAATGGTTTTATCATGACATGACGTAAAGCTAAACCTCAAACAGCATTCCCGTGGAAACAGAAGTATAAAATAATACTTGGTTACTTCCCGGTTCATCAGGTACTTACGAAACAGTTGTATATCAAAAGTGACTTTGAAATGATCTGATGCTCACGATCAAAAATATATCAAGAATATTTCTACACAATAAACAGGAAAATAAGACAAATTCAAAACAACATCAACAAAAAGAAATATCTGGTTCTACAGACGAACATCGTTATATCGATCTCTTATAACTCGAAAATCCCGTTTACTTCGAAGTATTTCATCGGTCCTTGCCTCTTAACACAAAATTAGAACTGACTTAAATCGCATTCTCGGGTGTCTCGAAGTTTTTCCATGGTCTCGTTGAGGTCGAGATAACGAGGTTAAACTGTAGTTTTTTTTATCATTTAGACCTTTTTGTTTCAAACATCTCTAAAGTGTATCAAAAAATATTAATACAAATCTGAGAACCTTGTATACTTATTTGACTTGACCAAGGTTTACATAGTTGGGTGTCGTCGATGAAGGAGGGGACGCACACTCTTCCTTGACACCTGGTCTTATTCTCCATGTACATTCTCAGTAGTCCGTATAAATGATTATGGTCTCATGTTGGTATTTTCTTTTTATAACTCAAATTAAAGACAATAGGAAAGCTAAAGCAACCGATAAGAAACAAAATATATAGTCACCAAATACCACTACATAGTCTGAATAGACACCAAATACCACTACATAGTCTGAATAGACACCAAATACCACTACATAGTCTGAATAGACACCAAATATCACTACATAGTCTGAATAGACACCAAATACCACTACATAGTCTGAATAGACACCAAATACCACTACATAGTCTGAATAGACACCAAATACCACTACATAGTCTGAATAGACACCAAATATCACTACATAGTCTGAATAGACACCAAATACCACTACATAGTCTGAATAGACACCAAATACCACTACATAGTCTGAATAGACACCAAATACCACTACATAGTCTGAATAGACACCAAATACCACTACATAGTCTGAATAGACACCAAATATCACTACATAGTCTGAATAGACACCAAATACCACTACATAGTCTGAATAGACACCAAATACCACTACATAGTCTGAATAGACAACAAATACCACTACATAGTCTGAATAGACACCAAATACCACTACATAGTCTGAATAGACACCAAATACCACTACATAGTCTGAATAGACACCAAATACCACTACATAGTCTGAATAGACACCAAATACCACTACATAGTCTGAATAGACACCAAATACCACTACATAGTCTGAATAGACACCAAATATCACTACATAGTCTGAATAGACACCAAATACCACTACATAGTCTGAATAGACACCAAATACCACTACATAGTCTGAATAGACACCAAATACCACTACATAGTCTGAATAGACACCAAATACCACTACATAGTCTGAATAGACACCAAATATCACTACATAGTCTGAATAGACACCAAATACCACTACATAGTCTGAATAGACACCAAATACCACTACATAGTCTGAATAGACACCAAATACCACTACATAGTCTGAATAGACACCAAATACCACTACATAGTCTGAATAGACACCAAATATCACTACATAGTCTGAATAGACACCAAATACCACTACATAGTCTGAATAGACACCAAATACCACTACATAGTCTGAATAGACAACAAATACCACTACATAGTCTGAATAGACACCAAATACCACTACATAGTCTGAATAGACACCAAATACCACTACATAGTCTGAATAGACACCAAATACCACTACATAGTCTGAATAGACACCAAATACCACTACATAGTCTGAATAGACACCAAATACCACTACATAGTCTGAATAGACACCAAATATCACTACATAGTCTGAATAGACACCAAATACCACTACATAGTCTGAATAGACACCAAATACCACTACATAGTCTGAATAGACACCAAATACCACTACATAGTCTGAATAGACACCAAATACCACTACATAGTCTGAATAGACACCAAATACCACTACATAGTCTGAATAGACACCAAATACCACTACATAGTCTGAATAGACACCAAATACCACTACATAGTCTGAATAGACAACAAATACCACTACATAGTCTGAATAGACACCAAATACCACTACATAGTCTGAATAGACACCAAATACCACTACATAGTCTGAATAGACACCAAATACCACTACATAACCTGAATAGACACCAAATACCACTACATAGTCTGAATAGACACCAAATACCACTACATAGTCTGAATAGACACCAAATACCACTACATAGTCTGAATAGACACCAAATACCACTACATAGTCTGAATAGACAACAAATACCACTACATAGTCTGAATAGACACCAAATACCACTACATAGTCTGAATAGACACCAAATACCACTACATAGTCTGAATAGACACCAAATACCACTACATAGTCTGAATAGACACCAAATACCACTACATAATCTGAAAAGATGATTGTGTTCGAATAAGACCGGTTCTCGCCATTTTTGAGAACTGAAGATAAAATTTCTAGAGAAAATTATTGTCTATTTCTTTATTAAAAAATAACCCTTTTTTATTCAAACTCTCAAAACCCCAACCATTAGAGTCCGTCATCAAATAGAAGTAGCTCGAAAAAATAATATCTGTAGTATAAAGTAATCTAAATCCTTACTCAATAGTGTAATGTGCATACATTTCTCGGCATGGCTTCATAGCTAGATTCCTAACTGTTACTACCATCGTGTAGTCATATTTCCTTCCGTTGGTAAAGTGGACTTCTCCGCTCAGCCATACCTCTTCAGTATTCGTGCACATATTTCAATGGAAAATGTTGTTATGTGCGTATTTCTATGTATATATATGGATATACTAAGAATAAAAACAATCAACGTCAATCTGCCAGACGATTTCAAGTCGTGAATGCTCGGGACAACCTACTGACAACATGGCGAACATTGAGGCGGTTACTATACCTTTCTTGATTATGAACTTCTTTTTTAACGGTATGTATAGAAAATCATTTTACTAGTACGTACAATTAATAGAAATATGTCTAACTGACAAGAGACGCATGACTGGTCTCGCTAGACCAGTAGCATCACTCAGGAATCCTAAACGGCCTTAGCAGCAGTATGATACAGTTCAATATATTGACTCTACCGTATGTTAATGGATAAAAAACGCTAATAATTTGATTGTCTTTCATGAATTCTCAGAAAGCAATGCATTAACTTTTGAGATAGTGTCTGATAAAATCTCCTTATTAAAAGGGAAACAACCTAACTAAAATGTCTGACAAACCTGTCTGCCTTGCAAGTTTGACAGATTGCTGAATATGATATCTGTCTCTTCGTTTGTTTTTGTCTGTCTGTCTGTCTATCACTGTGTGTGTGTGTGTGTGTGTGTGTGTGTGTGTGTGTGTGTGAGTGTAAGTGTGTGTGTTCCTCTCCCCCCCCCCCCTCTCTCTCTCTCTCTTTCTCTCTCAGGTTACACATTGACAGATTTGTGTTGTCGGATTACTCAATGTAATGAAATCTATCTCATTGTTTGTGTGTCCCCCCCCCCTTCTCCCCCTCTCTCTCCCTCTCTCTTCCCCCTCTGTGTGTGTGTGTCCCCCCCCTTTCCCCCCTCTCTCCCTCTCCCCCCCCCACTCTCTCTGTCTCTGTGTGTGTTTGTGCCCCCCTTCTCACCCCCTCTCTCTATATATATATATCTCCCACTCTCTCTCTCTCTCTCTCTCTCTCTCTCTCTCTCTCTCTCACTCTCTCTCTGTGTTTGTGTCCCCCTTTCTCACCCCTATCTCTCTCCTTCTCTCTACCCCTCTCTCTGTCTCTGTGTGTGTTTGTGTCCCCCTTTCTCACCCCTATCTCTCTCTCTCTGTTCTCTCCCCCCTCTCTCTCTGTCCTCCTCCCCCCCTCTCTCTCTGTCCTCCTCCCCCCCCCCTCTCTCTCTCTCTGTCCTCCCCCCCCCTCTGTCCTCCTCCCCCTCTCTCTCTGTATGTGTATGTGTCCCTCTCTCTTCCTATTCCTTGAAGGTTACACATTGTTTGTTATGTCGGATTACGGATTGTATTGTATCTGGTCCCCAATAGTTATTTCTCCTATCAAACAAATTTAGAATAAGTAGAGTCGAATTATAAATACGTCTTACAGCTTTTTAGTCCATTTAAAGAACCTAGAATGTGAAACATAGCAGACGATGGGATAATCAAAATTGATTGCATGAAATGTCAGAATTAAGGTGAGTGGTACACTAGCCCCATGGTGTAAGAAATTTTCATCATTTACAAACATCTGATCATTTCGAAAGAGCATTATGTAATTATGTTCATTCTGAACCTTGCCTGATATAGAACATGGCTTACATTCTATGACAAAACTCGGCAATATCCACCACCTGCAATCTCGAAGATTGTTAAAAACAAAGAAACATACGAAAAACCAACAATGCTAAAGAGTTATTTATTTTCAACATTGTTTGGTATTCGAGAACATTTTCTATATTCATTTATTGACTGTTTGTTTCTGATTTATTGACTGATTGTGTCTAATTTATTGACTGTTTGTGTCTGATTTATTGACTGTTTATACCTGGTTTATTGACTGTTTGTGTCTGATTTATTGACTGTTTATGCCTGGTTTATTGACTGTTTGGATCTGATTTATTGACTGTTTGTTTCTGATTTATTGACTGTGTCTGATTTATTGACTGTTTGTGTCTGATTTATTGAATGTTTGTGTCTGATATATTGACTGATTGTTTCTGATTTATTGACTGTGTCTGATTTATTGACTGTTTGTATCTGATTTATTGACTGTGTCTGATTTATTGACTGTTTGTGTCTGATTTATTGACTGTTTCTGATTTATTGACTGTTCGTGTCTGATTTATTGACTGATTGTGTCTTATTTATTGGTTGTTTGTGTCTGATTTATTTATTGTTTTTATCTGATTTATTGACTGTTTGTGTCTGTTTTATTTATTGTTTTTATCTTATTTATTGACTGTTTGTGTCTGATTTATTGACTGTTCGTGTCTGATTTATTGACTGTTTGTGTCTTATTTATTGGTTGTTTGTGTCTGATTTATTGACTGTTCGTGTCTGATTTATTGACTGTGTCTTATTTATTGGTTGTTTGTGTCTGATTTATTTATTGTTTTTATCTGATTTATTGACTGTTTGTGTCTGTTTTATTTATTGTTTTTATCTGATTTATTGACTGTTTGTGTCTGATTTATTGACTGTTCGTGTCTGATTTATTGACTGTTTGTGTCTTATTTATTGGTTGTTTGTGTCTGATTTATTGACTGTTCGTGTCTGATTTATTGACTGTGTCTGATTTATTGACTGTTTGTGTCTGATTTATTGACTGTTTTTGTCTGATTTATTGACTGTGTCTGATTTATTCATTGTTTTTATCTGATTTATTGACTGTTTGTGTCTGATTTATTGACTGATTTTGTCTTATTTATTGGTTGTTTGTGTTTGATTTATTTATTGTTTTTATCTGATTTATTGACTGTTCGTGTCTGATTTATTGACTGTTTGAGTCTGATTTATTGACTGTTTGAGTCTGATTTATTGGCTGTTTGTGTCTGGTTTATTGGCTCTTTGTATCCGCTTTATTGATTTTTTTTCTCAAATGAACGGTTCTCTTTCACGCTGAAGAAACATTTATCAATTTATTTCCATACTTCAAGACATTATTGTGTAACATGATGATACAGTAAAAGTATGACACCTCCCAGCCAGCTTCTGTGACATTACTATCTACAGAGGAGGCAATGCAAATAACAGCATTTTAGTCATGTGACCACATTTATACATCACTATGGCCAAACAAATTGTTATCGATAGTTTGCTTATTGGTTCCTTTGTTGTACACCTTGTTCTTATTTGAGAACGTGACATTACTTGCTTGGATTGACCAAGGTATATATGGCAGATGTCGTCGAGGCAGAAGACACCTCCTCATTGTACTTTTTCATGATTCTCGTGTAAATCTTTCTTTGCTCACACGTTCCTCTAGTTTTATTGAATTTGAATTTATGATTATTTTCTCATGTTAGTATTTCTGGTTTTTCTTCAAAAACTCAAAAGCAAATTTTGGAGAGTTAATAAGGAAGAATACTAACCACAGATTGTATCTAGTTAAGAAAAAGACGAATATGGAGGAGCTGTCATAGACAGAAAAAAAAACCGACATTACTTAAAACAGTCGAAAAGTTTACATTGACACCGAGGTCAAAAACCATATGTTCTGCATTATTCGTATCGACAATCGATGAAAATAGGACAAATATGAACTAAACGAGCATCTACACGGATAAATTATACTAGGATAAGATCAGGTGTTCCAGAATGGTAAGTGTCTTCTACTCCAGCGAAGATGCTGGTGATTTAAAAAATATTCAGATAAATAATGTTTTCAAATGAGATCCGGCTATATCAAAATAAAACCCCCTAACGGGCACCAACTTGAGGTGTCGCATACCTTTATTATATCAAAATGGTATCATCACCTATCAATTCTACGGTTATAATTCTAGGAGTCGACTGAATGTTTAATTTCATTACCTTTATAATTCTAGTTTTTATTCAGTGTTAACATTCAATTCTACCTGCTTTGATATTTTACTTGAATAAACGGTTTTCTTTCATCGTTGTCCTCTTGCACCTTTACTTCCAATATTTGTTTTCATGGAACCCTAGGTACTTCAGGTTTTAACTATTAATATGCAGTCTCCTTGTCGCGGTGCTAACACATCAGTCCCCATGTTCTATCCACCAAATTGTTTTTGGGTTGAAGTGTTCAAACTGGTCGACTAGAGTTGCCTGCCTTGAAGACTTCACACACCACAGCACCGCCTACATTATACGTGATGATGCTTTTTTCATGAAAAAATTATATCCTTTATTTTTAGTAGTGAATCAGTACTCTGCGATCATATTTTGTAGGGTTTTATTTTCATGGTTCATAAAATAACTTTTTAATGCAAACTTGATTTCGTGGATAATTATAAGTCAATAAATCAATTTAAACTAATTTAACAACTCGTGGACATAAGAATAGGAATTCGTGGATTAAGTGCCAAAGTGTGCCCGCATAATCAAAGAAAATAAATCCCCTTCGAAAATTAAAGATTTGCAGTAATTTAACTTTATGGTTGCCACAACGAGATCTATGATATCAGAATGCTGCCCAGGTGAATACTTGGTCGTACGATCACAAAACATATATCGCATTCTCTGTACATTACAAAAGCTGGATACCGAGCAGATATGAATACCGTGAAAAACCTGTTTGTAGTTCAACATTATGACAACGCCCTTCTAATACTTGACTTTAGTTTTACCAGGAATTTTACAATACGAAATCCATGAATCCATAGTGAATATCCGACCGGGAAATGCATATAGTGTCTGTAGTTCAACAGGAAATGGTAACGGGGAAATTATAGTGTGTCTATATTTCTTTATACAAACCTATTTCTTCAATGCTGTAGAGTATGTAATAGAGAGTACAGAATTAAAATCCATGTTTATTAAACAAACATGAATCGAGTCAAACACAAACACAATAACAAATGAAGAAACGCGCTTCTGGTCTCCCGACCATCCCTAATTCCTTATTACCGATCTTAATTTCTCTCAATACGTTTTTGCAAAATCTCTTTATGTTACAAATACCCTGAGGTAAATTCATTTCGACGCTTGTCAGACATACTTTCGTCATTTCTGGATAACTGACGGTCACCAGATCTTGGTTGGTATTCATATTTAGAAAACATCAGATTTAGAAAACATCATGAACTTTTCCCCAACACTTAAGCTGAGCCTTAGGAGTTCTGGACATGTTCGCATCCCCTCTGAATGTCATAATTCTAGATTATTTGACAGATATTGAACATGCTCTTATCTTTTTCATCATCCTTTATTATTATGTGTGTAATTAAACTATACGAAATCTTAGTGATCTTAATGTAACATAAGATTATAGTATAGCTGAAAGGGTAGGTCGATTCCTTACAATCTCAAAAAACTACGGATGTCATTGCTAGTATGCTCCACATTCATTGGTCATTTGTCTAATGGATGTAACCGTGTTGTCATCGAAACTTCACCCTCTAATTTTCAACTGAATGTGTTATGAGAACTTCTATGCTATTGACATTACCAACCTGAAGAAAACATTCCGAAGTACCTTTTCTTTCTGTAGTCTTACTAGGTCTGCCTGATCTGGGTTTGGTTAAGACGCTATTTTAACCGAGAAAAAAACAGAATGGCTTATATTAAAACGAGAAGATATTTGCTGGTGTGTCATACTACCTTCCAGAAGCTTGTATATTCCGGCATTTTTCATTTTACCATTTCAAAATACAGTATTGCCACGTGTATGAATTACCAGTAATACACGTGAAAGTGCTACTTTAGGTAGCAAAGCAAACTTTTGTTCTGTTAGAGTATGGGGTACCCCAGTTTATCGTTACGTTTGCGTATCTCTTGGTGGCATTAAACACAAGTGTTGCTAGGAGTACGACAAGGTTGTTTTTCACAACAGGAAAATCAGTTTTAATCAAACTTTTCATACTGGAACTGACAGTCCCTAACAAAATACTGACTCTTATTTTTCCAGGCAGAAATTGTGACACATAAATCATTGTCGTTATTACTTTTTGTGCCTTAGTTTGAATAAGATTTTCTTACATTTGCATGTTACAAATTCTAATACAATTGGTTCATTATTCATTTATAGGTACACATGCCATACTACTGCCGACACTTGGAAACTGGACCTGGGACGAGGCCATTCTCCAGTGTCGAGACAAAAACTCAAGACTGGCTTACTTTGACGAGATAACATCGGGCATAAGCATTTCGAACGAAGAAATTAGGGAGGATGATGTACGTCTTTGGATTAATGACGGAACATTGCGAGCAGAGTGTGGTAGGTTTATAATCTTAAAATCAATTCTCCTGTATTGTATTGTTACTTTTCAAAGAAGCGAAAGCCAGATAAAAGACAAATAGGGAAGGCGAATTTGAAAAGTAGAATATCAACATCCATAAGAAATCGACATAAGGGAAATAATTCATAAACCTTATTATTTTGGTCCATGGTGGAAAACTTTAAAATAAACATTTCACAAAATTTTATAGATGTCTTTATATGTGTATGTATCCTATTTTGTAAAAGAACATCCCAGAGAATGTCCGCTGATGTTTGGCGATAACTCCCGGTTCAAGTACAACGCTACGTGTGTCAATTGCACGATGAAGGCAGGCACGATGTGTAGGACAGGTTGGTGGCATTACGCATCAATTAACTACTCGATATTCTAATTGTTGCTAAGGATATTGACTGTGCAATACATGTAATAAAAAATAAACATGTATATATATAAATAAAGCTTCATAAAAGTTTGATAGTGTGTGGCTTTATGAGATATTGTCTCTTTCTTTATCAAGTTTAGGTATTTTATCTCACATGCCGTTACATTCCATTACTACGACACCGTGAGTGGCGTCGAATTGTGAAACAGAACAGAAATAGTTTAAGTACGATAAGTTCAATCTTTAGTCATATTAGAAATAATTTCTATTTGTATAAGTTATGTTCCTTACATATTGAATCTTCCTTTAAGATGTTGTTAAACATGTGTATGGAATGAACGGAATGAAGTTCATTAGGTCGAAAGCACAAACGCTTTGTCTGAATACAAGCAGCCAACTTATTGACCTCAGCAGCACTAGTGACCTTGAAAGAAAGAGGAGTGTTAATGTGGATAATAGCCACCATTACTGGACCAGTGGAGTTATCAAGCATGGAAAAACTGGAGTATTTCAGATTGTAGGTGAGAAAAAACCGTATTCTTACTGACAGTATGCATTTGAAATGTAATTTAGTCATTTTGACAACTCTCGACGTCATTGTTGCTGTGCATTTGCCTGCCTTTAGTACAAAACGTTCGCCATCTAAACACATACTTCGACAGCAAACGTTGATGGCCCGTATGTATTATCTTACAGTATTCCTTAGGTTGACGAGATAATCATTATGACGCATATCGTTCGAAAACTCCTATCACTGACGATAGCTATCTTATTTTTGTATGATATTGTAAACAAAATATTCTAAGACACTTCAAGTACACGTACCTTACTACAAATAAGTAAAAATCGCATGACGGGAATGGTCGATGAAGCTATAGACATTCGCCCTTCTGGAACACCTGGTCTTTTTGTCTCTGTTCTTTTCCGTGCTTGCCTAACTGTTCTTTGATGTATTTTCAGATTGTGTCCACTCTTCGGGATTATCAGATCAAATGCAGTTACATAACAAAAAGACCTGGAATTCTGTCTACATTTGTCAACAGCTCTGTCGAAACAGTACATCCATAGCTTTAATGGTAGGTACAGTCATAATTACGGATTGATTTTTACTACAAAGAGGTACAAATAAAACTACTTTTGAAATAGAATGAATCGTTTTTTGAAGCTTGTCGTTCATTAGAAGTACATAAAATACGCCAGTGATGTTTACGTAACACATATAACTACTTGACAGGGAGCAATAAAAACCATTCAGATAATGTTTTTGAGATTTTTGCTACATTTAAAATCCAATATATCTACCTAAAACTCTTTAATTGATTCGAGCCATTAATGTTCATTTGAAGACGTTATGTTTCTGTAGACATTTTGAAAACATGTTTTGATTAATTTTTTTCATTTCTTAAAAGAATGACCAATGTGGATGTCTCTTGCCCAGCCAGAACGTGACAGATAGGAGAACATCAGGTTGCACGACCCCTTGTGTCGGTAGCCCGCGTGATCGGTGTGGTGGGAATGACAGCTTCTCTATATACCGCCAAATTGATAGTAAGGTCTATTAGGTGAAACGTTTAAATGATGATGTTATTTAGTCAAATAATGTATACATTTATATGTTTTGATGTGATTGTGTGTTTGTTGTGTGCTTTCGTCCATTCGACAAATTCAACGTAAAATAAAATTTAAAAAACATATATTTCAATTTCATTTGAAAATGTGACCCATCACTCATTTTCACCTTATAAGAAAAAAGGGTGAAATCTGAGCTGTGACAAATGTTTACCAGTGTGAAATTACCTCCAGGAAAATAGGGCTTACAATTGTAATTCACCTTTATCAATGAGATTCGGTTTTTATAAATTTACGGGTTCAGTCTATTCTTACTTAATTTGCATCGATGATATTTATGCAGAGAAAAGAAATCAACATCTTTTTGTTAATTTCGCCAAATCTTATCGCCTAATATAAGTCGATGCAAACATACATCATTAATATTGAGGAAACTTTGAGAACTGAGCACTTTAACAACATGATGTAAACTAACTATATTTGCCATCTGTCTTTTGTCCGTCGAGACAATTTTTGTTTTCTACTTTGGTTTGATGCTTTAGTCCATTTCTTACTTAATTCAATGATAGTAAAAATGTTCTTATGTTTCAGCGGATACAGAACAATATTCTGACAAATGTTTAGTGATTACAAAGAACAGCGATAACAATTACACCGAACATTGGCAAGAATGTCGACAACGTCAAGATGGCTGTATATGTAGAAATGGTAGACTTTCGATTATCTTATATACTGTAATATTACGCGTAAAAATAGATTATTAATTATTTTCATTAGCTGTAATTTTGAATACAATGTTAAAATTCCTATCAGCACGGGTATAAAAGGTAAATATATTTAATGTTTTTCTCTATACATTTTCCCGTCCTCCCCCTCCCCTACTTTAATATTGATTCATTTATCACACAAGTACATCCGGTCCAGAAGTACGTCCGGTCCAGTTGTAAATTTTTAATCAAGAGATAGCTAGATACAATATATTTACTGTTTCTACTACAATTTACAGGAACTATCGATTTCAGTTATGTAATCATTCAGAGAAACAGTACATGGGAGGAAGCCCAGAGAGCGTGTGAAGTACATGATATGATGTTAGCTACCTATGAGACGAGCAATATATCAGAAAGTGAATGGAGTAAGCTTCGTGAAGGTGCTACACTTTGGACAGGAATATATAGTCCGACGGTGTTAGAATTTAGTCCTGGTAAGCGAAATAGTTAAAAAAAATATCAGAGTTAGCATTTCTTACTGGATAGTATGCTGGTCGAAACAGGAGAAACAATGAAATCTCCGTGGAATAAGACGTGTTCGAGTTTATTATAAGCTAGCTCTACACTATCAGGCCCTGATTTCCCGTAAACGATTGGAGTCTTTGGCTTACAACTGATACATGTCTGTTTCATAATAACGACTTTGGAAGATTTGCAGCATTTACATAAGATTTTAAATTATTGATCAAGTTAGTTAGTTAATTACTTACTTAGTTATTTAATCACAAATCAAATGCTTCTGCGTACCCAATCCAAATGATAACTTGGCAAGTGCAGTCAACCAACCTGTCTATTGTCCAACCCCATGCTGCTACACGTCCGATAAATATAATACTTTTCACAGACGTATTATGACTTGACTAAAGATAAACAAATAATGATTTCGTTTCCCATAATCCTGACTTCATGATGTTCAACATACATTAAACTGATATTTTATAACACTGATAAAATAATTGAAAAAACCAAAGAACTAAAGCAATGTTTTATGCAATAATTACTGTAAAGTAACTAATTAAACTGTTTTGACAGATTAGTTCATGTAATAACAAGCAATGGAATATATTTCTTAGTTTTACCAAAACATCTATCATCAAGTCTTACTGTAAAAATTTATATTTTCTTGGAGCTCAATTTACTTGGTTTTTCAGAACCTCATTCTTCCGTTGGTAATTGATTTCGTGGTTAATCATATAGCTCGACAAATCAACATATACATATTTCAACAGATCGTGGACATATGAATTCGTGGACCAAGAGCGCCCATGAAGTTAATGAAAATTACACCCCCAGGAAAATTAACGACTTTAGTTTTCAGTATACATACATGTAGCTATATATTTATATATATATGTTTTCTTATTATCATTTCTTGTCCTTGATTTTGTTTCAGACGCTGACCCCCAGAGTGATGATACATGTTTAACTGTCACTAACTTTAAGGAACATCAATACGACATAGAGGAGGCAGACTGTGATCAGCGCCTAGAAGCGCTCTGTTACAACGATGGTTATACTTAACTCCATTACTATCGTATAATAGGCGTATTTCGTATGGTACCAGCCATCATAATTATTTGATATTTCGTTTATGGTGCTAAGCAGTTCTGAGTATAGAAGTCAGAGACTATCAAAGCTACTGTTTACGTAAATATTGTTAACTAAATAACCTATTTGTAAGTACCCCTAAATGTTACACAGTCTGACAAGGTTTACTGTAAACAGTATAAGAATACACAAATAAAAATGTTTTTCCAGCAGATTTTATCATTTCACCTTTGACCTGAGTAGGCAGGCCGTGAAAGTAGTTTGCGTATGAATATATTACTAGATTTTGGAAATCTCTTCTCTCTATTTATGTTTTGTGGTTTTCAGTTACGCAAGTTTCTTTTCACTATGTACGTGGTTGCCATAATACAAAAGTTGGAGACATTACCTGGTATAGATCTCCGTTCACGAATTATATTGACTTTCTACCCAAATTTTCCAACTGAAATACCCATTTTGCATCTATGAATTGCGGATTTGATTTTTAGTTACAGATTATAGGACAACTGTGAGTATGACGACTCTCCCATATGAAGATAGTGACTACATGACGTCGAAAAAGAAAAAACCGAATGTTACATCGACACACTCCTCGGTCATAGCCGTCACCACATCGTCTCCCTACACAGGAATGTCCCCGATGATTATAGGTTGGGTATTTGTTACAGAGTGACTCTTTTTCAATATAAAATCTTATGAAGCTGGACGTTTTTGATACGCGTTAGTTTGCCTGTTGGTTCCATTTTTTAATCTTGTCTTCAATCGAGAATGTAACATTACTTACTTTGATTGACCAATGTTTAAAAATGATCGCGTTTTGTTTCTGTTGTTAAAGGTTTGATCAGTACCGTTGTGTTTGTGGCTCTCGTTTTGATATTTTGTTTCTGTTGTTAAAGATTTGGTCTGTACCGTTGTGTTTGTGGCTCTCGTTTTGATGTTTTGTTTCTGTTGTTAAAGATTTGATCTCGTACCGTTGTGTTTGTGTTTGTGCTCTCGTTTTGATGTTTTGTTTCTGTTGTTAAAGATTTGATCTGTACCGTTGTGTTTGTGGCTCTCGTTTTGATGTTTTGTTTCTGTTGTTAAAGATTTGGTCTGTACCGTTGTGTTTGTGGCTCTCGTTTTGATATTTTGTTTCTGTTGTTAAAGGTTTGGTCTGTACCGTTGTGTTTGTGGCTCTCGTTTTGATGTTTTGTTTCTGTTGTTAAAGGTTTGATCTGTACCGTTGTGTTTGTGGCTCTCGTTTTGATGTTTTGTTTCTGTTGTTAAAGGTTTGGTCTGTACCGTTGTGTTTGTGGCTCTCGTTTTGATGTTTTGTTTCTGTTGTTAAAGATTTGGTCTGTACCGTTGTGTTTGTGGTTCGTGTTTGTGGCTCTCGTTTTGATGTTTCTGTTGTTAAAGATCTGTTGTTAAAGATTTGGTCTGTACCGTTGTGTTTGTGGCTCTCGTTTTGATGTTTTGTTTCTGTTGTTAAAGGTTTGATCTGTACCGTTGTGTTTGTGGCTCTCGTTTTGATGTTTTGTTTCTGTTGTTAAAGGTTTGATCAGTACCGTTGTGTTTGTGGCTCTCGTTTTGATGTTTTGTTTCTGTTGTTAAAGATTTGGTCTGTACCGTTGTGTTTGTGGCTCTCGTTTTGATGTTTTGTTTCTGTTGTTAAAGATTTGGTCTGTACCGTTGTGTTTGTGGCTCTCGTTTTGATATTTTGTTTCTGTTGTTAAAGGTTTGATCAGTACCGTTGTGTTTGTGGCTCTCGTTTTGATGTTTTGTTTCTGTTGTTAAAGATTTGGTCTGTACCGTTGTGTTTGTGGCTCTCGTTTTGATGTTTTGTTTCTGTTGTTAAAGGTTTGATCAGTACCGTTGTGTTTGTGGCTCTCGTTTTGATGTTTTGTTTCTGTTGTTAAAGATTTGGTCTGTACCGTTGTGTTTGTGGCTCTCGTTTTGATGTTTTGTTTCTGTTGTTAAAGGTTTGATCTGTACCGTTGTGTTTGTGGCTCTCGTTTTGATGTTTTGTTTCGGTTGTTAAAGATTTGGTCTGTACCGTTGTGTTTGTGGCTCTCGTTTTGATGTTTTGTTTCTGTTGTTAAAGATTTGATCTGTACCGTTGTGTTTGTGGCTCTCGTTTTGATGTTTTGTTTCTGTTGTTAAAGATTTGGTCTGTACCGTTGTGTTTGTGGCTCTCGTTTTGATGTTTTGTTTCTGTTGTTAAAGATTTGATCTGTACCGTTGTGTTTGTGGCTCTCGTTTTGATGTTTTGTTTCTGTTGTTAAAGATTTGGTCTGTACCGTTGTGTTTGTGGCTCTCGTTTTGATGTTTTGTTTCTGTTGTTAAAGATTTGGTCTGTACCGTTGTGTTTGTGGCTCTCGTTTTGATGTTTTGTTTCTGTTGTTAAAGGTTTGATCAGTACCGTTGTGTTTGTGGCTCTCGTTTTGATGTTTTGTTTCTGTTGTTAAAGATTTGATCTGTACCGTTGTGTTTGTGGCTCTCGTTTTGATGTTTTGTTTCTGTTGTTAAAGATTTGGTCTGTACCGTTGTGTTTGTGGCTCTCGTTTTGATGTTTTGTTTCTGTTGTTAAAGATTTGGTCTGTACCGTTGTGTTTGTGGCTCTCGTTTTGATGTTTTGTTTCTGTTGTTAAAGATTTGGTTTACCGTTGTGTTTGTGGCTCTCGTTTTGATGTTTTGTTTCTGTTGTTAAAGATTTGGTCTGTACCGTTGTGTTTGTGGCTCTCGTTTTGATGTTTTGTTTCTGTTGTTAAAGGTTTGATCAGTACCGTTGTGTTTGTGGCTCTCGTTTTGATATTTTGTTTCTGTTGTTAAAGATTTGGTCTGTACCGTTGTGTTTGTGGCTCTCGTTTTGATGTTTTGTTTCTGTTGTTAAAGATTTGATCTGTACCGTTGTGTTTGTGGCTCTCGTTTTGATGTTTTGTTTCTGTTGTTAAAGATTTGATCTGTACCGTTGTGTTTGTGGCTCTCGTTTTGATGTTTTGTTTCTGTTGTTAAAGATTTGATCTGTACCGTTGTGTTTGTGGCTCTCGTTTTGATGTTTTGTTTCTGTTGTTAAAGATTTGATCTGTACCGTTGTGTTTGTGGCTCTCGTTTTGATGTTTTGTTTCTGTTGTTAAAGATTTGATCTGTACCGTTGTGTTTGTGGCTCTCGTTTTGATGTTTTGTTTCTGTTGTTAAAGGTTTGATCTGTACCGTTGTGTTTGTGGCTCTCGTTTTGATGTTTTGTTTCTGTTGTTAAAGGTTTGATCTGTACCGTTGTGTTTGTGGCTCTCGTTTTGATGTTTTGTTTCTGTTGTTAAAGATTTGGTCTGTACCGTTGTGTTTGTGGCTCTCGTTTTGATGTTTTGTTTCTGTTGTTAAAGATTTGATCTGTACCGTTGTGTTTGTGGCTCTCGTTTTGATATTTTGTTTCTGTTGTTAAAGATTTGATCTGTACCGTTGTGTTTGTGGCTCTCGTTTTGATGTTTTGTTTCTGTTGTTTTTGGTCTGTACCGTTGTGTTTGTGGCTCTCGTTTTGATGTTTTGTTTCTGTTGTTAAAGATTTGATCTGTACCGTTGTGTTTGTGGCTCTCGTTTTGATGTTTTGTTTCTGTTGTTAAAGATTTGGTCTGTACCGTTGTGTTTGTGGCTCTCGTTTTGATGTTTTGTTTCTGTTGTTAAAGATTTGGTGTCCGTTGTGTTTGTGGCTCTCGTTTTGATGTTTTGTTTCTGTTGTTAAAGATTTGATCTTGTGTTTGTGGCTCTCGTTTTGATGTTTTGTTTCCGTTTTTATGTTTTGTTTCTGTTGTTAAAGATTTGGTCTGTACCGTTGTGTTTGTGGCTCTCGTTTTGATGTTTTGTTTCTGTTGTTAAAGATTTGGTCTGTACCGTTGTGTTTGTGGCTCTCGTTTTGATGTTTTGTTTCTGTTGTTAAAGATTTGATCTGTACCGTTGTGTTTGTGGCTCTCGTTTTGATGTTTTGTTTCTGTTGTTAAAGATTTGATCTGTACCGTTGTGTTTGTGGCTCTCGTTTTGATGTTTTGTTTCTGTTGTTAAAGATTTGTTTGATCTGTAAAGATTTGATCCGTTGTGTTTGTGGCTCTCGTTTTGATGTTTTGTTTCTGTTGTTAAAGATTTGGTCTGTACCGTTGTGTTTGTGGCTCTCGTTTTGATGTTTTGTTTCTGTTGTTAAAGATTTGATCTGTACCGTTGTGTTTGTGGCTCTCGTTTTGATGTTTTGTTTCTGTTGTTAAAGATTTGATCTGTACCGTTGTGTTTGTGGCTCTCGTTTTGATGTTTTGTTTCTGTTGTTAAAGGTTTGATCAGTACCGTTGTGTTTGTGGCTCTCGTTTTGATGTTTTGTTTCTGTTGTTAAAGATTTGGTCTGTACCGTTGTGTTTGTGGCTCTCGTTTTGATGTTTTGTTTCTGTTGTTAAAGGTTTGATCTGTACCGTTGTGTTTGTGGCTCTCGTTTTGATGTTTTGTTTCTGTTGTTAAAGATTTGGTCTGTACCGTTGTGTTTGTGGCTCTCGTTTTGATGTTTTGTTTCTGTTGTTAAAGATTTGGTCTGTACCGTTGTGTTTGTGGCTCTCGTTTTGATGTTTTGTTTCTGTTGTTAAAGATTTGGTCTGTACCGTTGTGTTTGTGGCTCTCGTTTTGATGTTTTGTTTCTGTTGTTAAAGGTTTGATCTGTACCGTTGTGTTTGTGGCTCTCGTTTTGATGTTTTGTTTCTGTTGTTAAAGATTTGGTCTGTACCGTTGTGTTTGTGGCTCTCGTTTTGATGTTTTGTTTCTGTTGTTAAAGATTTGGTCTGTACCGTTGTGTTTGTGGCTCTCGTTTTGATGTTTTGTTTCTGTTTTGATCTGTACCGTTGTGTTTGTGGCTCTCGTTTTGATGTTTTGTTTCTGTTGTTAAAGATTTGATCTGTACCGTTGTGTTTGTGGCTCTCGTTTTGATGTTTTGTTTCTGTTGTTAAAGATTTGGTCTGTACCGTTGTGTTTGTGGCTCTCGTTTTGATGTTTTGTTTCTGTTGTTAAAGATTTGATCTGTACCGTTGTGTTTGTGGCTCTCGTTTTGATGTTTTGTTTCTGTTGTTAAAGGTTTGATCAGTACCGTTGTGTTTGTGGCTCTCGTTTTGATGTTTTGTTTCTGTTGTTAAAGCTTTGATCTGTACCGTTGTGTTTGTGGCTCTCGTTTTGATGTTTTGTTTCTGTTGTTAAAGATTTGGTCTGTACCGTTGTGTTTGTGGCTCTCGTTTTGATGTTTTGTTTCTGTTGTTAAAGATTTGGTCTGTACCGTTGTGTTTGTGGCTCTCGTTTTGATGTTTTGTTTCTGTTGTTAAAGATTTGATCTGTACCGTTGTGTTTGTGGCTCTCGTTTTGATGTTTTGTTTCTGTTGTTAAAGATTTGATCTGTACCGTTGTGTTTGTGGCTCTCGTTTTGATGTTTTGTTTCTGTTGTTAAAGATTTGATCTGTACCGTTGTGTTTGTGGCTCTCGTTTTGATGTTTTGTTTCTGTTGTTAAAGATTTGATCTGTACCGTTGTGTTTGTGGCTCTCGTTTTGATGTTTTGTTTCTGTTGTTAAAGATTTGGTCTGTACCGTTGTGTTTGTGGCTCTCGTTTTGATGTTTTGTTTCTGTTGTTAAAGATTTGGTCTGTACCGTTGTGTT